CTGACTGACTGACTGACTGCTGCAATTATAAGAAAATATCAAAGAAGCATGGGTAAAAAAAGCAGCAACATACTATGAATTTACCGCTTGCGTTTGAAGGTTATGTCTAAGGCAATTAGTATATACATACGTTAATCTGAATTCAAAAGTTTTTGCATAAGCTAAATTGCCAAATGCACTTCTGATATATCTGGTCTTAATAAAAATTTCCGTTAAATCAATGGTATTAAGTTTATTCATGAAAACGTCGTTAAAGTAAACTTTATTTTCTCTTTTCTAATAATTCCAAAGGACTTAATTGTTTTTAATCGAAATCGTGAAAAGTTGGCTGCTGCACAAGAAAACCGCGCTTTGAAATCTGGTTTACAGAACAGTACAATTTGTAGTGATCCAGATGAAATGGAAGTTGAAGGTAAAAGAGTTGGGTTAAATTCTGCTGAAGTTGAAGAGCTTGTACGTCATTATCTACTGCAAATGGTTGAGAGCAAGGGACAAAAAACATCGGAAGAGTTAACTTGTGGGTTGAGCTTATTCACTACACGTGAACTTGAACGTGGACTCAGACGGTACGTAGATCGAGGTATTTCTGATGCTATAAATCATACCTCATCGTCTATTTTAAATAAGGCTATTCGACATCTTAGAATGCGTAAAGCTCCGGAAGAACGTATTGTTACTGATATTTTTTCCTTTTGCTGTACTCGAAGTGCTAATTCTACACAAACTGAGGACAGTGATAAAGAAGAAAACGAAGGTCAGTGTATTGAGTTGAAACATTGAATGTAATCAGTACTTGTCTTACCATATGCTTGTTTATTTCAATTTTATACAACTAAAATGGTTTTTACTTCCTATATATCAGTTGATGCAAAAATCTAAGTAGGCTAACAGTCAGAAATCCGGATTAAATCCAAGATTAGTAAACATTCCAACTGTTGTGCATTATCAATTGCAAATGCATTGTCAGTCAGCTACAACATATCACATTAGCACAGAGATGCATTTGTCAATTTAAATCCCATAGGAGTAGGGGTAATAGAAATATGAACGGTAATCAGGAAGGTTAGGGTTTGGCGATATTATTCAAGGAGTATAATTCAGTGAAATAAATTTGAGAGAAAAAAAGGTCATAAGCATTTCAGAAGATTGAAATTTCAGAGAAGACAAGTAACGGATGGACCTGCGCCACTAAGAACGATTTTGATCCACGTCATCTAAAGTCTCTAACCATCGGATACTCTTATCTTGCAGACCCCAACCAGGTAGTCTACATCTACTAACATGGCTCAGTCCAGTTGTCAGTGACCTCATGCATTTATGCCATGTTTTGACCGGCCCTAACCTTCTCCCAACCTGCGCCTACACCACAAAATATCACTCATCGAGGAAGTCGGTGGTTGGGCATACGTAACACGTGTCCCAACCACCTCAACCGTTGAAGTTTTGGTACGTCATCAATTAACTTGCCATCTGTACCTAATACTTGTTTCCTAACGAAAGCATTGCATACTCGGTTGTTCCAGGATACACGAGCAATGCTTCGAGGACATCTACAATCGAATACTAATAACGTACGAATGTTTTCTACTTTTACCGACCATGTTTCGAATCCATAAAGTAGAACGCAGCGAACTGCTGCGCAGTTGACTTTTCCGTTGGTTATCTTTGGATATCTCTCTTACTCCATAAGTGACTCAAGTCGGCGAAAGTCGATCGAGTCTTCTGTATCCGTGCTGAGATTTCGTCAGTCACCAGGCCATCTGTTCTGATGGTACTCCCGGTTAACAAACTCAAATACTTTACTCCCTTTGCACAAATATCAATTGACTAATTTGTTTAATTGAGATTAACCTCTACTAAGGCAAATGTCAGTTGCATAAAATTAACTAGCGCAGTGTATTAAGACCAGGTTTGCCGTAATTGAAGGCTTTTTAAACCCTGAAATAAGTAGGAAACTTGATCACGAAGTGATTGAATGGTTTTTTAAGAAAATCGCCTGCTTCGGTTTAGGTTCCGGGAAAGTAGTATCCAAGCCCAGGCACGAATTTCGTTGATTCATATGGCGCATAAATATATAGGCTCCCCTCAGTACCAACTAATTATAGAACATAGGCCACCGAACAGCATTCTCCGACCTACTCTTTCCTGGGACTTCCTTTCTAGTTCTGTCCAACTTTATTTCATTCCTCTCATGTCTGTCTCCACTTCTTGGCGTAATTTATTCATTGGCCTTCCTATTTTCCGTTCGCCTTGAGTGTTCCAAGTGAGGACTTGTCTTGTGACGTAGTTGAGTGCTTTACTTGAATCTGGTTTGTTCTCTCCCACAGTAGGTTGTCGCTGATAGTGTCTGGCCAACGGATCCGAAGTATTTTACGTAGACAACTGTTAATAAATACTTGTGCCTTCTGGATGATGACTCTGGTAGTTCTTCAGGTTTCCGCCCCATACAGTAGAACTGTCTTGAGATTTATATTGAAAATTCTGACTTTGGTGTTTGTTGATGGTTGTTTTGAGTTCCAGGTGTTGTTCAATTGTAAAAATGCAGCCCTTGCTTTCCCGATCCGCGCCTTGATATCTGCATCAGACCCACCTTGCTCGTCGATGATGCTGCCAAGATATATAAAGGTGTTTACATCCTTCAAGGCATTTCCATCAAGTGATTTGGTTTGCGCATGTTATGTTGCATTGGAGGGTCTTGTTTTTCCCTTTGTGTAAGGTGAGCCCGACCAAAGGCGCTACCTTGACGTGGTGATTGGGCTTGCTTATTGTGATGACCTAGCCGAGCTATGTTGTTTGGAACATATGTTCCTGTAGGTTCTACCATGCCAGGCAGGTTGATTAGAAAATGATCAGACTAAAAGTAGCTACTCATGGTCTGATGGCGAAGTCGTACTGCTGACTGTATTGGGATGTGACAGCAGTTAGGTGTTTCCCTCGGACAATGAGCATCTGCAGCGATGCTGCCTTCCCACCAGGAATAAAGAAAGGGTTAGAAATGATCGACCCTAAAAATTTCACACCTCACTTTTTCTCACGGATTTCCGTCTCCAGCGGTAAGGCCCCCATACCCGTAACAGCATACGAGACGGAATTGGTTACAGTCGAATTTTTCCTACCACCCCTAACATCTATCTTATCTCCACGACGCATCATAATCAGATTGCACCGCTAATAAAAATGCTTCGAGTTCACGAAACGTTATTCTTAGTCTCCTGCAACCACGTTCTAAACTGCATGTTGGAACTTTTAATGTCTAGACATTGTGCAAAGTAGGACAACAAGCTTCCTTAGCTTGGACCTCAGAATATCGCGCTATCGATGTATGCTGCGTCTCCAAAACGCGCATACATTATGAGAGTAAAATCATAAATTTGACTTCACCTTGTCCAAATAGAGAACCGTTTCTGTTTATGCTTCATGTATCTGGAAGCCCTGCTGTTTCCTGTGGCCTCGCTTGTGTAGGTATAGTATTAAGTCCTAGGGCAGAACTAGACTCTTAACGAATTTGAGAAAGTTATAGGAAATCTTAAGCGAGGAAGAGCAGCAGGGTCCTGATAGACTCATCCCTGATATTTTTAAGGATGGTGGTCCAATTTTAGCAATTAGATTGACTGAGATCTTAGGTAAATTTTGGGAACTGGGCGTAATCCCACTGATTGTCCCAGTCTATAAGAAAGAACAGAAGTCCTCTTGTGACAATCACAGAGGAATTAGTTTAACTAGCATAATGTTGTCTTCTCCTGCGTTTGTTGTTGCACGCCGTAGTGTCGAAGAAGCCTGTATAGTGTTGTCCCGTTCACATTATCAAATGCTTTCTCGTAGTCAATAAAGTTGATCTACAATGGTGAGTTCCATTCATTTGATTGTTCTACAATGATATGCAATGTTGCACTTTGGTTGGCACACGAATGGTCTTTACGGAATTCAGCCTTTTGGTCTGTTTGAGTAAGTCAAGCTGTTGTATTGACAGGTATTTCGATCAAGTTTAAAGAAAAATCTGGTAATTATCGGCTTGTTGCAATTACACTTTAATTGCAGATCGTTTATTACAAAATTTTTTTTGTGTAACAGTTCGAACTAATAAGTCATCTAAGCTCAACTGTGTTTTTCAAAACGTTTCAGATAATTTTAGCCCCATTAAACCACCTAGTTGTCCAAAATTAGAAACTACAACAAATACTAGATCAACGGAACTACAGGAATTGCAGTGGAGTTTGGAGGAAGATGAAAGTGAACAAGTAAGTAATACGATTCTTTTTTGCGTTGGGAATGAAATAATCTAATACATAAGCAGTAATAAGCATGAAGAAAAGACATGAGAATCTCGGAAGGTTAGTCGTATTCATGATTTTCCTTACTATTTGCATCGAGAACTTCACAAAATAGTCATTGTAAGGCAGTTTATTCTTAGGTTATAAGTCTGTCGATCACAAAGTTACAGTTTTGTCACCGGTTCAAGTTACAAAATATTTGTCTATTACATTCACATTGAAGTGCTTAAAAGCAATTCGGTTGATGATTGCGCTGTCGTCAAACTCATGACTCACATCTGAACTTCTGTCATACTTATGAAGTTAAATGATCTTTCAGACATGTAGTGGTCATCTTTCGACCAATTTGATTGGTGATACATTTTATTTTAGAAGCGATTGTTACTAAACTTGTTGATTTAGTCATCTTGAAACAAGTACATCCTTGTTATGGTATCAGATTCTAGTTTTGCTAAGTCGAAATTTACTGTTTGGCATAAAACCTCACCTGATTTCTGTCATGGTCTATCTGTTCTCTCATTTGTATCCTCGTTTTTTATAACTGCTCTATGGAACGTAAATTGTAAGGTTCCGTATAAACTGGATTAATTAGTTTTGAGAAACAGTTAATAGACTAACTAATAATTCTATCGAGGCATCCAACTGCACAATTCATAAACAACAATATGTCTAAAGAATAATTCTGCGGTTATGGAATATTAAGATCGGTTAAAAACCTCGAATCGTGAAGTATCTGGGGGTAATTAATGCTTCCAGAAAGATAAAGGCTTTTCGTAATAATAACAGAATAATCACTACATACGGTAGCGTCTAAATCAATAGAATCTATCGACGACCAGATTGGAAACCAATAGCACACGAATATAGGTATTGTGTCTCAACAAAGATTCAAGGATATAGCTTACAAAGATTGAGAGCATTTAGTTACAGTGGTAAATATAGAAAATGTTATTTCATGTAAGCATTACTCGACGACAAACGGACTTTACAATATACTTTCAGTATGTAACTGGTTACTGAACATGAGCAAGTAGTGTGAAGCAATACACAAAAAATGTGAGGACGCAAACAAAGTCAAGACAAGGAGCTTTCCTAGAATGCAAGAGCACTTAGTACATCTATAGATCCGTTTTCTTAGGTTTCTCAACCAGATTTTCGTTTTAACTAAAACATGATAGTGTAGATTTGTATAGAAATCCTCACCCAAAAATGTCAGTTTTATTGAAGTACTTTATTTCCTCGGTTAATACTTGTATCAGTATTTCGTAAATGACCAAAGGTGAAATCTGACATGCCTGTTAGTAAAATGCTTGTTTTGTTAGTTGAATATGCGATAGCATTTTGGTCGAGATAAAAGAATTTATTCAAAATTGTATCATCATTTACACTAACCTAGCGAGACCTAGTTCTTTCGCATTGGTGCAGGTCCATCCATTCTTTGTGTTCCCTCGAGTTCTAATCTTCTGAATTTCCGATTACCTTTTTTATGTTCTTAGATTGATTCCACTGCGGTTTACTTCTCGAGGCATATCTTCGGTCCCTAATCTTTTTAATTAACGCCAATGAGTCTACTGCCTCTACTAATAATGGATTTGAGTTGACTGTGGCATCACAGTGTGCTAATGTGTTATGGCAACTTGAACTGATGTACGTACGTACGTACGTGCGAAGTTTTACATTGTGACTGACCAACCTAGTCATCTTTTAATTACGTCATAATATTTACTCACTGTTTTAGTTAATAATAAGTTCGTCGAAAAAGTACTTTTACTGAAGGTCGCATTCTCTATATTTTCATGGGAATATTATTTACTTACTTACGCCTGTTACCCCCAATGGAGCATAGACCACTGACTAGTTTCCTCCAACAAATTCTGTCCTGGGCTTCCGTCTCCAGTTCTGTCCAATGTTTGTTCATTCCTCTCATATCTTTCTCTATTTCTCGGCGTAATGTGTTCCTTGGCCTTCCTCTTTTCCTTTGCCTTGAGAGTTCCATGTGAGGGCTTGTCTTGTGACGCAGTTAGGTGCTTTTCGTAGTGTGTATACTATCAACTTCCACCGCTTCTTCCTGATTTCCTCCTCCACTTTAATCTGGTTTGTTCTCTCCCACCGTACGTTGTTGCTGATGGTGTTTGGCCAACGAATCCGAAGTATTTTGCGTTTACAACTGTTAATAAGCACTTGTATCTTCTGGATGATGGCTTTGGTAGTTCTCCATGTTTCCGCTCCATACAGTAGAACTGTCTTGACATTTGTATTGAAAATCCTGATTTTGGTTTTGGTTGAATGTTGTTTGGAGTTCCAGATATTTTTCAACTGTAGAAATGCAGCCCTTGCTTTGTCCATCCGTGACATCACATCTGCATCTGATCCACCTTGGTTGTCGATGATGCTGCCCAGATATGTAAAGGTGTTAACGTCCTCCAAGGCATCTCTGTCAACAATGATTTGTTTGGTGCATGTTGTGTTGCATAGGAGAATTTTGCTTTTTCCTTTATGTATGTTGAGACCTACTGCTACAGAGGCTGCTGCTACACTGGTCGTCTTCTCTTGCATTTGTTGTTGCGTGTGCGGTAAGAGAGCCAGGTCATCTGCGAAGTCCATATCGTCCAGCTGCGTCCTAGCTGTCCACTGAATACCGTGCTTCCCTCCAGATGCTGACGTCTTCATAATCCAGTCGATGACCAGGAGAAAGGGTGAGAGTAAGCAACCTTGCCTGACACTGGTCTTCACCTCGAACGAGACTGTCAGCTGTCCTCCGTGCAGGATTTTGCAGTTGAATCCATCATTAGAATTCCGTATGATGTTCACTATTTTCTCAGGCACCCCGTAGTGTCGAATAAGCCTCCATAGTGTTTTCCTATCCACGCTATCGAATGACTTCTCGTAGTCAATGAAGTTGATGTATAGTGGTGAGTTCCATTCAATTGATTGTTCCACAATGATCCCTAATGTAGCAATTTGGTCAGTACACGATCGATCCTTACGAAATCCAGCCTGTTGATCTCGAAGTTGGGTGTCTACGAAGTCCTTCATTCTGTTTAACAATACCCTGTTGAAGACTTTGCCTGGTATTGAAAGAAGAGTGATGCCTCTGTAGTTCTCACACTTGCTGAGATCGCCTTTCTTTGGTATTTTGATCAGGTATCCTTCTTTCCAATCTGATGGTACTTGTTCCTCATCCCAAATCTTCTTGAAGAGGATGTGAAATATTTTCGCAGTTGTTTCTACATCTGCTTTCATTGCCTCTGCTGGAATGTTGTCTGGTCCTGCTGCTTTGCCGCTCTTGATTTGTCTGATGGCCATACTGATCTCCTCAATCGTAGGTGCGCCAATATTAGTTGGGAGATCCGTGGATGCTGCTTCGATGTTGGGTGTGTTCAGTGTAGCTGGTCGATTCAAGAGTTCCTTAAAGTGCTCTACCCACTATTTCTCTGTTTTTCAGTGTTGCTGATTACTTTGCGTTTCTTGCTTTTTACTGGTTGTTCTGGTTTACGATAGTTTCCGGCGAGCTTCTTTGTTGTTTCGTACAATTGTCTCAAGTTTCCGTCTCTTGCAGCCTTTTCCGCCGTCATTGCTAGATCTTCCACATATTTTCGTTTGTCAGCTTTGATGCTCTTCTTCACTTCCCTGTTTGCTTCTGTGTATGCAGCTTGTTGATTGATTGATGCCATCTTGCTCCTCCTTTCTTCAATTTTTGCAAGAGTACCAACAGAGATCTATTCCTTGTGATGGTACTTCTTGTGACCGAGAACATCGTGACATGTTGAAGTGATTGCCTCCTTAATCCCTTTCCAATGGTTCTCCAATATTGCGTCCTCTCCATTGTGTAGATCCTGAAAGGCCTGGAACCTATTAGTGAGGGTTATCTTGAATTCGTTGAGCTTTACATTATCCCGAAGAAAGGCCGTATTAAACTTTTGTGATGTTGTCTGTCCCATTTTTCAGTGCTTCTTTAGTTTCAGTTTCATTTTGGCGATCAGCAAATGGTGATCTGAAGCTATATCAGATCCTCTCCTGGTTCTCACATCCTCCATGGTCCTTCTGAACGTTTTGTTGATACAGATATGATCAATCTGGTTTTGAGTAGTGTGATCCGGTGAAATCCATGTAGCTTTGTGTATGCGTTTGTGCGGGAATATTGTGCCACCGATGACCAGTTTGTTGAAGGCACATAGTTTTGCAAATCTCTCACCGTTTTCGTTCCTTTCTCCCAGTGGATGTCGTCCCATTATGTCTTCATATCCAGTGTTGTCCATGCCAACCTTGGCATTTAGATCTCCCATCAGAATGACGAAGTCGTTTGATGGGAATTTCTCAGCGACTGACTGCAGCCTTTCGTAGAATTGATCTTTAACGTCGTCATTGTAGTCATTGGTAGGTGCATAGCATTGGATAACGTTCACTTTTGTGTCCTCTTTCTTTGTTTTGAAGGATGCTTTAATGATCCTGGGTCGATGAGATTCCCATCCTATCAGTGCAACTCCTTGTGTATGTGAAGCATTTTCCTGTTCATGACCAGAGTATAACAGCAGTTCCCCTGAAGCTAGTCTCAGTTGTCCTACTTGTGTCCAATGTGTTTCACTGATGCCGAGCACCTCCAGGCTGTATCTTTTCATTTCTGCCGCAACTTGAAATAGTCTTTCGGTCTCCCACAATGTACGAACGTTCCATGTATCTGATAAGTTCGTCACTTAGTATGCTTGAGGCAGCTTCCAGGAAGGCTACCCTGAATCCCAGAATCGAATAGAAGACTTTGTAGGCGTAGAAGTATATTCTACAAGCACCCAGCAATCCCAGTACAATCAAGCATACAACTCTCGTTTATTTATACAACATAACAACGTCCTTGAGACAGTTAAGAAAATAGCATACTAAAATACACTGTAGCCAATCACAGCCATTGATTTTCCTGGTGGGAATTGAAATCTCAAGGTCATTTGATCAGCCCCTGCTGGCGAAACGTGAAAACCAAAATACGGCATTATCAAGCGAATCTTGGGGATCTAACATCCCCAACAGTATCTAAAAGAATGGTTGCTCTGGTTGCCAGAAGAGGCATCGACCCCGTGACTTCCGAGGGAACTCGGCTTTCATCACGCGACGTCATAATTCTTCTTCTAACTCCCAGGGCAGAGTTAATGGTTTCAATTTTTTCTGGTTAGCGTTTTTTGGCAAGTTAGTTTTTGACAGGATGGGGTAGCCAACCCCATGCCCAACCCTCCTCCTTTATCCGGGCTTGGGACCGGCAGTAGCCCCGAAGGTTCTACTGGCGGAGTTATATCTTCATGGGAATATAGTTAACTACAATAACTAGATAGTGGGTTAAATCGAGACGATACAATTCAATAGATATAAGACTCAAGGTTTAAATTAACCTCAATATTCTGCTTTTAGTACGTATACTTTTCACATGAATGTTCAGCACCTAAAACTAGTATTCTAATCATACTTCTTATTCCAGATACCGATGCATAACAATCTAACTCCGGAAAAAGTTCAGGTAAACAAAGTCAGTGTTAAAGCAACATTACAGACAAAACGACCTAACAATAAAAGGTCTGTGCCTGGCTGTCAACTTATACTACAAACAGATGATTTTGAATTTGATTCAGACAAGGATGAGGCAACAACTTTAGCGAACATGGTTGAAGACGTTTCCACCGACGACGACACAAAATACCCATTGAATCCACCGACTAAGGCATTGCCAAAAACTGGTCGAAGTGGACGTGGGCGAGGTGTAAATAATGCTGTAACTTCTAGTGGTTCACTCAGAGGCAAAAGAAATAATCGTAGAGCTGGATCACAACAGATGAATAATGATAGTGATGCTCATCTTGATTTCGATTTTCGTCGAAAGCGTAGAAAAGTTGACTGAGAGTTGATTTTTGTAGTTTATTTTCGAATTTATCACTCATATTTCTTTATTTTCATTTTACCAATATAACTGAGTATTTTTTCAAACTGAAAATCACTTGTTTATATTATAAGAGATTTTTCTGAAATTAAATTACTTGAATCGTACTTTATGTATTTATTTTATTTAAGAGGCTACTGATGAAACCAAAACCAAATTTCATCACTGTTACAAATGAACAAGTTTAATTCATTTCATTATAGATTTTCAACATATTATTTATTATAAATAAATGGGTTTTATAGTATATACAATAAGATAGAAATATTGGTATGAAATGAAATAAAGAAACTGTTAATGGAAATAGTTATATCACAGTCGACAAAAAAAAAGAAATACAGACATGTATACATGAATCCGGCTGCTCTATCATAATTGCACAAACCTCGAATCCATTTTCAGGGATCTATTGGATGTTAACATAACATATAAAAGTATTAAAAAAGAAGAGAGTTTCACAGTATCAGTTTCTAAATCGCTATAAATTTGTTTGGAAGAAAGCCAGCAAACAAAATATTTCTCCATTTTATACCAGAGATGTGAACATTTTCATATTCTCGCCTTAAATATTATTTTTTCTCATATATAAGCCAAGCCATGCTTCAAAAATGTGCGGTTTATCATTTCATCAAAGAATTTGTACGAACCAGATTTTTGTACAGAAAATACACAAGGTGGAGTCAAGCACTGTTGAACACATGTTTTATGACTGAGGCATCCACAGATAACGCGTTTGAAACCAGAATTGAAGACCTGAGAACCCCAGGATAATCAGTGCAAAGGTTTGAGAAATCTTATATTTTATGGTCCATAGTACTTTTTTAAACTAGTCATATTATTTTTCTTCAAACGACTTAACTTTTTTTTCCTGATTCTCTCCGATCCGCGTAGGCTAAAATTTAGACAACAGTAGACAACAAAATTTGAAAACGAGCTTGAGACTGAGTTAGGAGTTAGATCGGATCAGGCCACTTGTTTGAATTCCTCTACAACTGAACTTTAATTCTGAACTGCGCACTTCATATTGTGTGACTACTTTGTACAAATTCGATCGAAGTTTTGTAAACTCATCCAAGAAAGTAAACTAAGAAGTGAAATACCTTGTATGATAAGCAAGATTGATTCTGAAGACTTCACTTAAGTAAGCGAAAAAGACAACTATCCAGATAAATATTTGTGTTGCAAATAGAACAAACCCAACAAAATATTACTTACCCACATAATACTGACAATATTTTTGGGTTTATTAAAAACCCTTAATCTACATTTGATTCGGTGACTGGTTTCGGACAAGCGAAGAGTTTGCCAGCTAATTTTCGCCTTCCTTTGACTTCCTCATTGATGCGCTTAGCCTCTATCATGTTAAGTTCATTTTCAACTGTTTTCTTCATATCTGGACGACAAATGGCTAGGTTACGTAGATCCTCAACAGCTAGATCAAAGTCCCAGGTTTCTGCATACGCTTTAGACCTACGATAAAGTGCTTTTGCATTTTTAGGATCTCTTGATAAGGCTTCAGTGGTACTTTTAATTGCAGCATAGTAATCCTAGTAATTATCACGGGGAGAAAATAAAGCATAACGAAAATATCAACAGGGATCGATGGCACAGTTACAAACACTAATTATTCGCTTGTTGAATTACGAACGCCGCAAATATGGAGTAAGACTACCATAAACGTCTTTAATAGGATACTGTCTACAACGATGTTTGGTGAGAGTTTAGCCAGAAAACAATTCGCACTCACGAAACCCTCAAAATTATGAGAATAGCGATCTTACTTTACAATTCTCTTACCTCAAGAGGAATGCTGTTGATGTAACTTTTGGAAAAAAGACGCAGTTTTGGATGTAATCAGTTCCTCAAATCTTAAAAACCGAATTTCAAATGCATCTTTAATGCCTAGAAGAGATTTCGAGGTTTTTTATAGTGCGATGAAATGGAGGGAAGATTATCAGAGAGAGGCAAACATCGTAGGACCAACACAGAGTTAATGAGAAGTAGACGGACAAGAAAGTCATTTGATGATTATCAGATGTCCTAAAGGACGAATGCGCACCAAGAAATTGATTCATTTTCTAAGGTCGATGAACGTACATATAAAAATGAGTATTTGTGTATATAATTGGGTAGCCCAATAAGCTTCCTCTTCTTGCTCAAGCAGTCAGTTTGGGGGTTAGCGCGTATCACGTTTAGATCTGAGACGCCACAAATCATAACAACGGCCTGATCAAAATATTAGTCTTGGATTGTTACAATCATTTTCGTCTTATAACTTTATAGTCTGACTAGTCCAGTCTTACTTTTAAACTCATCATTGGGTTATAAAAAAGTCAAAATTCTCATTTGGATATTCAGTAAACAAATGTAAAGTGAATAAATATTTGTTTCCAAGTAGTTTTCAACGTGACTTGCTCTACACTAGCTGATAATTAGTGAAACGAACGCTGGCAATAGGAATCGGTAGTGGCAGAGACTTTCTTCATTGAATCGAAGTTAATATTAAGACAACTGTCGATTGTTGTATATTTGATATCAAAAACACCAGCAGGTGCTTAAGCTGATACAAGTCATGTTTTGGAAGTAAAATAATACCTGCTACCTCGCATGGAGCATAGGCTGTTTACTAGGTTTCTCCGACTAACTCTATCCTCGGTTCTTCTTTCTAGTTGTTCCCAAGTGCCATTCATTTGATATGACTTAAAATCCCGGCGCAGTGTCATTCACTTTTCTTCTTGCAGTGGAACCAGTATCGCCGAAATATATGTTCAATTTAAATTTGTTGCTTGGAGGTGTGGGCAGAATAGTCAAAATAGACAAAGCTGTTGCAAGGAAGCGACGATACAACAGGGGGACGAATGTTAAAAATATTAGGCAAGTAGCATTTCTGGGAAAATGACATTAGTGATGTCCTTCAGTGCTTTTAAGAGTGACCCTGAAGTTGGGCAATCTAAATGCGGCTTTTGCTTTTTTATTACAAATTATGATAAACTTCTGAAGCATCTATAGGTCTGACGCGATTAATTGACTTATCAGGAACAACTGTCAGTGAATGAGGCTGAGAATCATAGTGTTTTAACCATAGCTATTACTCTAAAATCCGAAACCCGACAATTCGATTAACAAAAATCTTCCAATTCATCCGAAATCTATTTGGAAGCATGACCTCGACCAACAGGGTCACTCATTCATATACTCTGGTCCCACCGCAATCACCATTGTTGATTAATATTTCTCAATCAGAATAAAATTGTCAACTGTTAATGAAAACTCACAAAATGAAGTGAGATGTTATCCTGAATTAATTGCTGTTCGTGTTTTATTATTAGTTTATAATGAAGCTGCTTTCAGTTTTCGTTTTATTCATAACTAATAAGAAAGTTTTTCTTGTTTGGATTAAATGAGAATAGTAAAAATTTAAACACAAATTTGTCATATCAATGAGTTGCTTACTTGTTCTTTAAACTGACATTGTGCAAGATTAATGAATAATGGTATTCGTGTTTTGTCCAATTCAATCCATTCAGGTTCTCCTGGTTTTTCTCGTAAAATTAACTGTTCTAAAATGCCTAACGCCTCACTATAACATGCAGCCGCTTTATTATATTCCCCACGGCTATACAACTGATTACCTTCTTCACGTAAAACTGGTACAGTTGCCAGTTTTTCTTCAGGTGTCATTATCCATGTTTCTTTACGACTACCACTACCAGGAATTTCAACCCTAAAATTATATACAATATCTCGCTTATTAAACTATAGTTGAAGTTAAATTGTACAAGTCCTTAAGTCAATGAAGAAGATAAATATGATGCGCAGCAATTCTCCCAGTATTACAATGCAGATAGAAATTATGGCTCGTAAAAATATCAAATTGCACAGGTTACAAGTATTCAGTCGTAATTTTTGATGACTCAACCATCTAGTGAGCAGTGTTGATAAAATGTTAAAACTAAATCGCCTGATTACATCAGTTAGTCAGTTTATTAACTCTCATCAACTAAGATGACTAGCATATACGTCACACACTACTGTTAGCGCCTTTATCAATCAGCATACTACAATAATGTAGGGAAAACCTAAAAGTGGTCAGGCAATGACAAAGCATTAGCATATGAAGTTAATAACCATCGATCTGAAGTGTATAAATTCGTTCAAGTTATGGTTCATAAGATAAATGTAGTTGGAAACATTATTTGATACAGCTTAAAGCTAATTGCATTGATATGTATATCTCGAAATGCTGAATACTGTTCTATTTTTATACTACAAATCCATTTCTGTCAAGCTGATGTGAAGCAGTGTAACTTGGCACAACTCAAAGTTATGTCTGCTTCCACATTATTTCTATAAAAATGATCATGATAATTTTGTATAAACCAAGAGGCCTAAGACTACATTAGTTTAATGTCAGTAATCAGTATAAATGTGAACAAATTGATTCACAGATTTTACTATCTCACAGCTTACAATTGGACGTGCAGAAGGAATGACAACTATATATTTTACTAATGAGAAGTTAATCAGACGGAAAAACCAACTAAATATGACAGCCGAGAAGCTATAATATCAATTAGCTTTCATTGTATTTGGAGTGAAACAAAACGCAAAGTCAAACAAAAAAATAATTAGAGGTGATGAGGAGTTGTTCAAATTTTTTAAAGTTCAGTTTCACAATACGAATTAGGATGATAATATTACTACAGTTGGACATTTGTGCTTTATTCTGCAATCGTAAATATGAAGGGAATCTTAAAATGTATGCAAGATATAATAAGGTCAAAAAATTATTATGCTATAAATTTGTTTACTGTGGAGTACAGTTTCGTTTGCGTTAAACAGTCCAATTTTGCTGCAAAATCCTACTTAAAAGAAAAATGATATTTAGGTACAACTAATAATCAATCTAACTGCCAGGCTTTAAATACTTGTTGGATAAAACAATAAATCTATCAGTGTCTTTAGTCGGTATAAGAACAGGTTAACTAATAGTGGGACTACTGATAGAAACCCTTCTTGAACGTAATTTGAAGGGTATTAGTATGACTTATAGACGTTAGACGACCATGAGTGCAAAAATACTATAGTGGGCTGAACTCCAGGTCTTGACTGCATGCATTTCATGATATAAAAATTATTGAACGCAACACTAATTGAAACTGTCAACTGTTTAAGTCATAAAATCCTATTCGCTGCATCAAATAATTAAGGTTATTTAGTTTCATGGCTCTATTGTGAACTTAATCGATAGAATTCGATCAGCACCAATCAGTAGATAATGCGATAATGCTTTCGACTAGAAAAATTTAGAGGTAACATCTCTGACTGTAACACTGAACGGAGCGGGTAAGAATCACGGTGGGACTACTTGTTTTTTCTAAAGTCGGAGAATTACTTCGCTAGTGAGTATCAGTCAGAACAAAATCTGGGGGTGAGGTTTCGTACCTGTTGCTGATAGCCACATAATATTAGCCAGAAGTGAGTTATTTTCATTGAAGTCGTATTAGAGATTATTTCATCAAATGTGAACCTTTCTCCTCAAAAGACATAAAATTAAAATCACTTGAACGTTACAGTCCATGGATGTAGACTAAAACACTAACAATATAAAGTTATCACTCAAAAATCAATTGTAGCAGTACCGCCCTTATTGATTTTACAAAGAATTTTTTCGATTATTCTACACACAGAAAATACTAACCGTTTTGAATTAAATAGTATTCAGAAAGTGAGTTTAAGGGAGTATAAAAATTAAGTTGATATATATATATATATATATATATATATATATATATATATATATATGCAGTTTAAAAAGTGAAAACATTCTGATGAGAATAAAAAAGCAAATTTACTATAACGTCGGAAACGCCGATAATACAGTGATTCAATTTTTCAGAAGATGATGAACTGTATCTGTGATTTTGCAGCTCAACATTCAGTCTTAGAGTCCTTAGTTAGAATTCAGCTCATACCAATTGGGTATTAAAAGGCTCTTTAAGGGCTCCTAAAGCAAGTACTACTATGTACATTATTCGGAACAACAAATATGGAGATGAGATGAAAACTGTATAATTTAGATTAATTAAATGAAAAACAATACTTTCCTTTCCGAAAAAATTAAAGAGAGAAACTTACTTAACTAAGTCAAAAATAAATTCAAGTGGTTCAGGCTTTATCATCAACTCGTCCAGATCTGGATAGCCCAAACCACCTTGCTCTTGTAAACTCATTAATCCACAACAGTGCTTGATAGAATGATCTTTTTTGTCCAACATGTAGTCACGGAGTTTTTTATTTACAACTGGAAATGAAGCCAACCTTTCGGGGGGTACAACAAATGAAGAAACTTCGCCAGGTAACATAGTCCCTAAACATTGTTCCCAAAACTAAAAAGTCACAATGAAACAGAAAAGTGCACGCCTGGGATAATCTTAGGTGGTGAAGTGAGTTATAGTTAAAAAATATATTGAAGTTAATTCGTAGCAATCTTACAATTGCTTTGTCCGTGAAATGATGGAAAACTAAGCTATATATTCACGTTCTTTTCAATCAGTTCTTCATCAAGGCTATACACTAGTGTATGTTTGACAAATGAATAGAAAGTTAATACCAGTTAGATATCGGGGAAGCAAGTTAACAATAGAGAAGTTAGTTACATAATGCTTGAAAGATTAAAGTTAAAGACAAGATGAATCTACATAACCAGTAAATTAATAAAAATAGTTACATAGAGCTAGGGATAAGGACTGAAATCGGATGCATACATAAGTTTTTTGTTATTCTTAAACTTAAGTAGAAATAATGAGAATTATTCAGTTCACGTAAGACCAAAATTGAAGATCAGAATGTTTATAAAATGGAAAGGAATGAACGGTTTAGAAATACGTGATAGTATCCATGTAGATTAAGAGACTGTAAAAACCTTTTCTGTATAAGAGATTTTGTTTACTGATGTGCATTTCTATGGATTTCGCTGCATGCAGAAGTCGCGTTCTATAACCATAGAGCGAACTCGGAGGAATCTTATAACTTTGAGTGCTAAGGCTTTATCTATCTGATGACCGGTATCGACTGGAAGCAACAAGATGGAGCTTCTCATTTCGTTGGTAAACCATGAGGGGCAGTGTTCCTAAATACAATGATAACTTTTTCTAGATGTGCACCCAATATAACCAGCTCGATAGGAACAGGGACATTACTTTACTACGAGAACGTATTTTCTTGACACCCGACCGTAGCTGTTACTTTGATGTGGTGGTCAGGCTTGCCTATCGTGATGACCCGACCGAGCTATATTGGCTGAAACATATGTTCCTGAAGGTTCTACCATGGCAGACAGGTCGATTGGAGAACGACGAGACTGAAAGCAGCTGCTCAAGGTCTGAGGGCGAAGCCGTACTGCTGACTGTAGATGGGTGTGACAACAGTAAGGTGTTTCCCTCGGACAACCAGCATCTGCAGCGATGCTGCCTTCTCACAAGGAAGGGAGGGTTAGAAAAGGTCGGTTCTAAAAATGTCAACCTCACTCTACCTCACGGATTTCCGTCTCCGGCGGTAAGGAACGGAGCTAAAACTTTAAATACTATCCATAAAAAGGTCGTGCGTGACAGGCCTCAAACAGTTGTCCCTTGAGATCTGCGATTAAGCTGCCGGGTCGTTAAGACCAACACTAAATCAACCTTTTTTTCAGATTCCTCAAGAAACACCCTTCCATGGTGTGGGCAGCCGGGAAGTGACAACTGCCCTCACACCCGTACTAGCACACGACGTCAAATTGTTCACAGCCAAATCCTTCCTACAGCCAATAATATCTCTGTTATCTCCACGACTAACTCTTCTCACATTCCTTTATCACACTGCACAGCTAATGCAAACGATGCGAGTTCACGAAACGACATTCCTGGTCTCCCAAAACATTGTTCTAAATTGCATGTCGGAGCATTTAATGTACGAACATTGTGTCGAATAGGGCAACAGGCATCATTAGCTAGGACCTTAGAATCTCGTGCCATTGATGTATGCTGTGTCTCGGAAACGCGCATACAGGATCCTAGTAAAATTCTTAATCTGATTTCACCTTGCCAAAATAAAGAACCAACTCGATTTATACTTCGTGTATCTGGAAGTCCTGATGCTGAGTCCTCAGGTCTCGCTGGTGTAGGTGTGGCATTGAGTCGTATAGCTGAACAATCTCTCTTTGACTGAATTCCAGTAGATACTCGCTTCTGCGCTGTCCAACTGAACGGGACAGTAAGGACTCGGAAAGATAGGGACACTCGCCGTTGCCTCTTCGTCGTATCTGCCTACGCTCCCATTGACTGCAGTTCAGACGAGGTGAAAGATGAGTTTTACAGAAAGTTTACGGGCCTCCTCCAAAACGTTAAGCGTTCTGATATAGTTATAATGGCTGGTAACTTTAATGCTCAAGTAGGTAGACCAAGTGAAAATGAAAGACGCGTAGATGGATGTTATGGTGTCGCGGCTCAGAGAACAGACAATGGCGACTGTCTGTTGCAAGTATGCTCAGATAACCGTCTATTTCTGGCAAACACTAACTTTAGGCATAAGGAAAAGCACCTTTTGACCTGGCCACCCCCGAGGTCGTCTCAACGTTGGACCCAACTAGATCACATCGCCATCAGCCACCGATGGAGTGGTTCGATAGAGGACTGTCGCTCGTTCTGGGGCACATGTCTAGACTCATATCATGCCCTAGTGAGAGCTCGTATTTGTTTGAGGCTTATTGGACGTAGGAAAGATATCTCAAGGAAACCTCTTAGGGTTCTACCTAATGATAGCAGAACTATGAGCTATGAATATATTTTAGGAGCAACTAGAAAGACAGTTCGGCGACCATGTAGGCGATTCCCATCCAGAAGTAGCTTGGAATGATATCCAAAAGCTGGGGAAACGGCAGTGATATCTGCTAGTAAGGTAAACCATAAGGATAGAATGAAGCCGTGGATATCAGTAGCATCTACTGAACTGATGGATGCTCGAAAACTTATCCCACCTGGCTCTGAACATGATGAAGAGCGAAGTCAGCTTAGGCGCAGGCTGATAAAAAGCCTACGCAACGACCGCGAACAGTAGTGGGTGGCGAAAGACCGATGGAAACGGCAGCAGCGATAGGTAACAGCAGGCAGTTGTTCTACCTTAATTAGGAAACCAGTATTACGAATCCGAATGTGAGTGAGACTATCTCGGAAAAGTATGAGACTAATATTCATTCTCTATCCGGATTCATAAGGCGGCATTTGACTCTGCAAATCGAGAGGTTCTGTGGAAGTGTCTGTCATTGAAAGGTGTACCAAAGAAGTACATTAACCTAATACAAGCTCTCTACTCGAACACTACAGGTCGAGTAAGAGCTTATGGCGAACTGTCATCGGAATTCTTCACTTGTGGTGTCCGCCAGGGATGTTCACTTTCCCCATTCTTGTTCAATTTTGTCATAGACATGCTCCTAGATATAACTTTATCCTCGTCTGAATTTTCAGGAGTGGACCTTCTACCAGGAAAATCGCTTGCTGACTTAAAATATGCCGATGACATAGTTCTATTCGGTAAAAATGCTGTCTTCTGACTAGCCCAAGCAACAATGCAACAATGTTCGGGATGCGGTTCTCACCCTCAAAATACAAAATTTTGCTTCAAGACTGGGTTGCATCGGCACCTGTATTAGTGATATAGAGTGAAGTAGTCGAGCGTGCGGACCGCTTCACTTATCTAGGGAGTCTCATCAGTGCTGATGGACTGGTGACTGACGAAATCTTAGCACGGATACAGAAGGCTCGATTGGCTTTTGTCAACTTGCATCACCTATGGTGCAGGCGAGATATCCGTTCGCTAACCAAAGGATGAGTGTACTGCGCAGCAGTCCGCTCCGTCCTACTATATGGATGCGAAACATGGCCGTTAACAGTAGAGGACACTCGTAAATTGCTTGTCTTCGATCATAGATGTCTGAGAAGCATTGCTCGAGTATCGTGGGACAGCCGAGTAAGCAATGCTATCGTTAGGAAGCGAGTACTAGGTAAAGATGGCAAATCAATTGATGAAGTAGTAAAACTTGATCAGTTGAGCTGGTTGGGACGTGTGTTACGTATGCCCAACCACCGACTGCCTCGACGAGCAATATTTTGTAGTGCAGGAGTAGGTTGGAAGAAAGCTAGGGGCGGCCAAACCAAAACATGGCACAAATCTATGAAATCACTGGATTGAGTCATATTGGTAGATGTAGGCTACCTGGTTTGGGTCCGCATCATTTCTATCTTTCTGTTTCGAACTTTATCTCACTGAATTATACTTCACGAACCATATCTTCGAACCCTAATCTTATCGATTACTGCTAATACTTCTACTATCGCTACCACTATTGGATTTGAACTGACATTTGCGTCTCTGTGCTAATTCAGTATGGCAACCCGAACTGATGTACGAAGTTTTGTGTTGTATCTGTCTGTCTGTCTTTATATGAACATATGTTCCATACAATATAACTCGGTGGGGTCATCACGATAGGCAGGCCCGAGCATCATGTCAAGGAAGCAGCTGTGGTCGAGACCGAATCATAGAGGATTAAAAAATTTGTTTGAACTTATTGTCACACTTATTTATGAATTTTACAGGGAGCATAAATTTCCGGACATTATAAAATTTACATTTGTTTGAATCCTTATACATTTATATTAGAATATATTTATTAGATGTTTGAGAGTATTAAATCCAAAAAGAATGTAGAAATATAAGTTGATGAATGTGAAAGTAAGTAGTTAACAAGAATAATTCAGTGTAAGAGGCATTAATTGATGACGCCGCTTTTCGTCCTTTATATTTCGTAAACAACACACACTACAAGAATACGGTGAGTAGGACTTCACTGGTGGTAGCTATACATACATGGCCATGTGAGAGCATAACGAGAGAGAGAGAGAGTTCTCACCACTCAGCCACAAACAGTCACTAAGATAATGGAGAATGAACCAAACTTTATTTTAACTTATAAAATCAGGTTATCAATTATTAATCAGAAGAGATTCCATAAAGCTATTCTGGACTTAAAATGAAAATGCATCTCACTTAGGTAGGAAAATATTTTTGTTAACGAGTACAAATTGATATCTTTCATGAAGTGATTGAAGAAAATCAGATTATAGTATTTGTTATTAACAATAACTAAATTGTACTTTTCTTACCTCCAGTTGAAATTCCTTTCCCGAATACACTTCCATTGTCTTTCCATATTTACGCGTGTCGTCAATCACAGTACAATCTTCATTTAGTTTACGAATTTGATAATGAAAAATAAACTTTGTCTCTTTTGGGTAGGCTAGTCCACCACCAGCAGCCTGACAATCTGACGGAACCTTCTCAACACTTCCATGAATGATTCGTTTTTCAATATTTTTAAAAACACTTTCAATATTTGACATTGTTTTGTGGGATGGAGCTTTATCACCCAGTTTCCAGTTTTGAAGTACGGTTGAAAGATTTCTCAGAAGGTCGGGTTTACATGAATTTTTGGAACAACCATCATTGCCGTGCTCATGACCACAATGGTGGTGCAATTTTTTAGATTTTTTCTTTTGCTTAAATGCCTCATTTTTAAATTCTGAGTTTTTAATGTGATTGGTAGGTTGGTTGTCAAAAGGTGCACTTGATTCTGAATTGACACACTCCATATTGGTCTAAACAACCGAATAGGTAATGTAGACATTGATGCTATATTGTAGTACGAGGATTGTTATCATAATACAATAGAGAGTAAAATAAACGCAAAAAGACTGAACCTAATTATTAGACAACTCCGCCAGTAGAACCTTCGGGGCTACTGCCGGTCCCAAGCCCGGATAAAGGAGGAGGGTTGGACATGGGGTTGGCTACCCCATCCTGTCAAAAACTAACTTGCCAAAAAAACGCTAACCAGAAAAAATAATTCAAACCATTTTAACTCTGCCCTGGGAGTTAGAAGAAGAAATTTGACGTCGCGTGATGAAAGCCGAGTTCCCTCGGAAGTCACGGGGTCGATGCCTCTTCTGGCAACCAGAGCAACCATTCTTTTAGATACATGGAACGTTCGTACATTGTGGGAGACCGAAAGACTATTTCAAGTTGCGGCAGAAATGAAAAGATACAGCCTGGAGGTGCTCGGCATCAGTGAAACACATTGGACACAAGTAGGACAACTGAGACTAGCTTCAGGGGAACTGCTGTTATACTCTGGTCATGAACATGAAAATGCTTCACATACACAAGGAGTTGCACTGATGCTGTCCAAACATGCACAAAAGGCACTAATAGGATGGGAATCTCATCGACCCAGGATCATTAAAGCATCCTTCAAAACAAAGAAACAGGACACAAAAGTGAACGTTATCCAATGCTATGCACCTACCAATGACTACAATGACGACGTTAAAGATCAATTCTGCGAAAGGCTGCAGTCAATCGTCGAGAAATGTTCATCAAAGGATTTGAAGATTCTTATGGGAGACCTGAATGCCAAGGTTGGAATGGACAACACTGGATATGAAGACATCATGGGACGACATCCACTGGGAGAAAGGAACGAAAACGGTGAGAGATTTGCAAAACTATGTGCCTTCAACAAACTGGTCATCGGTGGCACAATATTCCCGCACAAACGCATACACAAAGCTACATGGATTTCACCGGATCACACTACTCAAAACCAGATTGATCATATCTGTATCAACAAAACGTTCAGAAGGACTATGGAGGATGTGAGAACCAGGAGAGGATCTGATATAGCTTCAGATCACCATTTGCTGATCGCCAAAATGAAACTGAAACTAAAGAAGCACTGAAAAATGGGACAGACAACATCACAAAAGTTTAATACGGCCTTTCTTCGGGATAATGTAAAGCTCAACGAATTCAAGATAACCCTCACTAATAGGTTCCAGGCCTTTCAGGATCTACACAATGGAGAGGACGCAATATTGGAGAACCATTGGAAAGGGATTAAGGAGGCAATCACTTCAACATGTCACGATGTTCTCGGTCACAAGAAGTACCATCACAAGGAATAGATCTCTGTTGGTACTCTTGCAAAAATTGAAGAAAGGAGGAGCAAGATGGCATCAATCAATCAACAAGCTGCATACACAGAAGCAAACAGGGAAGTGAAGAAGAGCATCAAAGCTGACAAACGAAAATATGTGGAAGATCTAGCAATGACGGCGGAAAAGGCTGCAAGAGACGGAAACTTGAGACAATTGTACGAAACAACAAAGAAGCTCGCCGGAAACTATCGTAAACCAGAACAACCAGTAAAAAGCAAGAAACGCAAAGTAATCAGCAACACTGAAAAACAGAGAAATAGTGGGTAGAGCACTTTAAGGAACTCTTGAATCGACCAGCTACACTGAACACACCCAACATCGAAGCAGCATCCACGGATCTCCCAACTAATATTGGCGCACCTACGATTGAGGAGATCAGTATGGCCATCAGACAAATCAAGAGCGGCAAAGCAGCAGGACCAGACAACATTCCAGCAGAGGCAATGAAAGCAGATGTAGAAACAACTGCGAAAATATTTCACATCCTCTTCAAGAAGATTTGGGATGAGGAACAAGTACCATCAGATTGGAAAGAAGGATACCTGATCAAAATACCAAAGAAAGGCGATCTCAGCAAGTGTGAGAACTACAGAGGCATCACTCTTCTTTCAATACCAGGCAAAGTCTTCAACAGGGTATTGTTAAACAGAATGAAGGACTTCGCAGACACCCAACTTCGAGATCAACAGGCTGGATTTCGTAAGGATCGATCGTGTACTGACCAAATTGCTACATTAGGGATCATTGTGGAACAATCAATTGAATGGAACTCACCACTATACATCAACTTCATTGACTACGAGAAGGCATTCGATAGCGTGGATAGGAAAACACTATGGAGGCTTATTCGACACTACGGGGTGCCTGAGAAAATAGTGAACATCATACGGAATTCTAATGATGGATTCAACTGCAAAATCCTGCACGGAGGACAGCTGACAGTCTCGTTCGAGGTGAAGACCAGTGTCAGGCAAGGTTGCTTACTCTCACCCTTTCTCCTGGTCATCGACTGGATTATGAAGACGTCAGCATCTGGAGGGAAGCACGGTATTCAGTGGACAGCTAGGACGCAGCTGGACGATATGGACTTCGCAGATGACCTGGCTCTCTTACCGCACACGCAACAACAAATGCAAGAGAAGACGACCAGTGTAGCAGCAGCCTCTGTAGCAGTAGGTCTCAACATACATAAAGGAAAAAGCAAAATTCTCCTATGCAACACAACATGCACCAAACAAATCATTGTTGACAGAGATGCCTTGGAGGACGTCAACACCTTTACATATCTTGGCAGCATCATCGACAACCATGGTGGACCTGATGCAGATGTGAGGGCACGGATTGGCAAAGCAAGGGCTGCATTTCTACATGGAACCCTCAAGGCAAAAGGAAAAGAGGAAGGCCAAAGAATACATTACGCCGAGAAATAGAGAAAGATATGAGAGGAATGAACAAACATTGGACAGAACTGGAGAGAGAAGCCCAGGACAGAGTTGGTTGGAGAAAACTGGTGGGCGGCCTATGCTTCATTGAGGGTAACAGGCGTAAGTAAGTAGGTAATTATTACACGGCTTTATCAAATGCTAATGTGGTATGGCAACCTGAACTTATGTACGCACGTACAAAGTTCTACGTTGTAACTAACTGACTGAATTTATTAAATGACAGCGTAAATTTGGTGCGGCCATCCGTAATAATTTCCGTAATTTATTCATATTTACATTTGCACCTTGATGTGGTGGTTAGTCTTGCTGATTATAATAAGCCGAATGCGCTTTGAAGGCTGGAAAACTTGTTTTTGTAGATAGTATCACAGTTAGTAAGTTACAACGTAGAACTTCGTACGTACATACATAAGTTAATGTTGTTAGGTCTTACCATGCCATGCAGGTCAGTTGTAGAATGGCAACACTAAAAGCAGCGACTTGAGGCAGGAAATAGAAGGCACCACTCCAAAGGTGCTTATTAATTAGAAATGCTACGAAAGGTATCTGGGAAGCCTTACACAACAGTGCATTATCACTGGACATGGACGTTTACATCTGGACAAAATCAATAAAACGAACGTTTTGAAACTTGAAGTTGCTGTGATTATATGGTTGCTAGTGTTTTTGAGCAGTATGACTAGCGGAAACGTGATTCTGCATACAACAGTGAATCTTAATGTTGATGAGCGGTACTACGAAACATATAGACTAGCATGAAGTGTTTATGGAGTTTGTTCTACATATTGTGGAAGGTCAAATCAATTATCTAAATCTAAAAGACAGGCGGCAGTTCGTAAAAGCACAACACTATGAAATAACCAGATTGATTAACATAATTATTAACGCACCGTTACTGGATATTTAAAATACTAATAGTGAATCACACCTGATAACAGCCTAATTAGAGGGAAAACGACTGGTACTGCGCTACAAAAATTATTGTTCAGTATCAAGACTATGAATGGCAAAATTAATGAAATTAATACGGTATGTTATTGATACATTTACCATTCTTTCTAAATACTACTGCAACAGTGATTTGTATTCTTACTTCACAAGCATCAGCAAGTCATTGTAATTACCACCTTTAGGTTCACTTTTTTACTCACTACTTACAGAAAAGCAAGACTAGCGATATTTATTGGATCGTCAGTCGATGATTACAAATATCTGTAGATTATCTAGCTGTTCAACAAAAATTCTCAGTTTGTCACCTTTCTATGAGTTTTTAAAATTGTGTCGGTATTTTGAATAAATATTTCACATTAAGGCTTTATGATAACAGAAGAATCCCTACCTGTGTATTTAAGGCTACTGACCTTGTTTTTTAGGACTGACCTTGAATTAATTGAGCCGCCTGAATAACCAGTACAAGGCTCTAGCTATATGACGCACATGAAGCAGGTTGTTATGTTGCCGGTTTCAGTTTGTAAACGGTCGTATATGATTAAGAGGTCTTAGCCCGTTTACCGGATTAGAAAAGTTTCTTACAGAATAACTTAAAATGAAGTTTCATCGTTCAAAGTAATCGTAGCACATTTCTTAGTTACATAACTGCTTTGCATCAAGGTTTTCCGAATATAAAGTGTGCTAATTGTGGTTTATCAGGTTCCATACTGTGCGTACGGTGGATTTTATGTATATCTGGTACATTGTGGAAGTCCTTTAAGAAGCTTTGTCGTTAATTTATATCCACGTGATCAGGAATATTATGGTTTTTGGTACAGATAAATACTGGAGTACAGTAAAACAATTACTGGTACATTTTTGTACACTATTGAATGTTTCCATCCCACCGATCGGCCGGATATATAATGCAGTGATTAGGCGTAATATGGCTGCGATACCTGGATGAGACAATCCATGTAGGGCATCGAAGACGAGACGATGATGAGCAGAAGGTACAGTGAGTCGGGGTAAACCAGTAGAATTTTCACACAGGATAGTACCTGAAGTGGTAGCTAGTGGTACTTCCTGGCACTGAAAAGATGCCGGTTGTTGTGCTTTGTACAGGAGGGATCATTTACTTTGGCAGGCGCCATAGCAGAAAGATCAAGCAGCGGTAAAGTGACTGCGTTCATTTGGATACGCAACATAGTTCGACTCGCCTTTAATATGACGAAGGTCTGTCGTGAACTTTAAGGCACAGTCGAAATTTCTTCACTCTCGTGGTGAGTAGCGGTCAGACTTGGTAAGCAGAGCATACGTTAGAGAATTATGGTTGGTGAAGAGGATAAAGTTGTCACCTTCTACTGCATGCCGAAAATGTTTTATGGCATAGTAGGCTACTAGCAGTTCCCGATCAAAATGTCTATATCTAGTCTCCCTGGGAGTGAGGCGTCGTGAGAAAAATTCGAGAGGTTTCCAACTTCAAGAGATCTTCTGTTGCACGGCATCGTTCATTTCTAGTGTGCGTGGATTACCGCAAAGTAAGTCGGTTAATGGTCGTAACTTTTCTGCAGCATGTGGGATGAAAATTCAGTGGAAGTTGACCAAACCGACAAAAGCCTTCAGTTCTTTGAGTCAAGACGGTAAAGTGTACTCCATGATTGCAGATACCTTGTCTTAACAAGGTGAAATACTCTCCTGCCTAATGATGATAGCCAAGAATTTTATTTCTCGCTTGCCCATTTCACACCTGTCCGGGTTGACTATTATTCCATTATCCGAAAGGCGTTGGAATAATAGTGTAAGATGCTGGCAATTTTCGCCTACGTTTGATGACGCCTTTATAAGGTAATCGATAGAGACGTAAACAAAAGAAAAGTCTCATTTTATGCTAACGATAAACCTTTGGAAAGTCTGAGCAGCTTTCCGTAATCCAAATGGCATTCGTAGGAACTCAAAAAGACTGTAAGGAGTTTTCTCGATATCTTTGTAGTGCCTCCACATATATTTCAGTCCTCTCACATCTAACTTGGTTAAGCCTTTTCGATTAATTTATTTAACTAAGCCATTTGTAAAACAATAACTTATATGTACCATTGACTTTTATTATTGTGTGGTTTGTATGCGCTGGTATGATTGAACATTGTTTACACTTGCGCGCATATTCATACTTTTCGCTTTAATGTTAATCTCTTAATATCCTCATGAACTCACGTGATCTGTATCGCTTGCTTGTGACCTTGTCAATCATTCGTCGCTTTTATTCATGTGTGTGCATACCTATTTCGCTTGTCATATGTCTGTCTTATTCTTATCTGAATATATATTCTTAGTCATGTTCTATCTCTTCGAGTTGGCTCAACAGCCTTCTCCTATTCGCTTCACTCATTCGCTCGCATTGTAATCCAAATAGTTGGCTCTTAGCCTTCTCCAATTCGCTTCTCCGCTTCGCTTTGTGGTGTGCCTCAAATAAACGTATACGATACTTGGAGTTCATCTTCTGATTTATAAACCGAGTTTAAGAACACGCAGTTATAGGCACACTACATCTTCAAGAGCGACTGGGATATGATGATATGCTCTTACTAGATCAATCTTAGAGTAGATAGTGGTGCCCTTGAGTAATGTTATGATGTCTTGTATGTGGGGGATGGGATGGTTATCGAAACATGTAGCGAAGGTTTGTGCTCGGCAGTCGGTTGATGGTCGCAAACTAATCCAATCCTTTTCGCGAACCATATGGGATGGTGAGGCTCAAGGACTGTGAGAAGGACGAATAATACCTGTAGCTAGTAAATTGTCAAACTCACGTTTAGCGAAAGATAATTTGTCCAGTGCCAGTCGGCAAGGTCTTGCCGTGACTGGTGGGTCCGCGGGTGACAATGTGGTGTACTACACGGTGAGTCACCGATGGATTCTCTTCGAGTGGTTTAGTTGGCTAAGGGAATTTTTCGAGTAAAGCGTGGAAAATGTCATTACGCGCATGAAACACACCTGTAATACGTTACGCACCTGTTTGAGCTCGCAAGCCCATAAATTTGCTGATCGACGAAGTATCGACTAGCTGCAGTCTACGTGAATCAACTAGCAGTTCATGGTGTTATAGGAAATCTATACCGAGTATGGCTGGGAGCATCGGCAATGATGGACGTCCCCAGATACTGTCATCGGTTGCTCAGGTTGACCGTCAGCCGTCGTGTGCCATAGGTAGGAATGACAGAGATACTCGCAACTCGTAGTTGAAGTTTGAGACTTGCTGTTTCCCATTGGTACGACTGAAACTTAGGCAACTGTGTCTACTAGGTACCTAGCGTTAGTTTGATAATCAAGCACATAAAATGAGCGGCCAACCTAAGGGGAAAGGCCGGCGAGTAGGGCTGCATTTACTCGCCGGCTTGGGGGTTGCCCACCCTGTATGAGGAGGAGGCTTGATAGTGGCGGGCAAGCCACTTGACATTGACACGGGACACTGTCTCAGTAGTAACGTCCGTGACAGAAACTACCTCTGACGATCATGCGATCTGATTCACACACATAATAATATGTCAGAGTATCCATTTAAATCTTGCAAGGGTCCTACTTGTCGAGAAGATGAAGTTTTTATCAACAGCTAAAGCCTACAGAAATACTTATTTTGAAGGTTTACTTATGCTGCAGTTACATATTAACACTTTCGCTTAATTAAAGTGAAATTTTGGCGATTTTTCATGTTAAATGTTCATATCCAGATTTCAAAGAATCATATGCAATAGTGATTATTCATGGACATAAAGCGGATGCGATGCTAACGGTGACAAGTAACACAAGGCTAATAATTAAAACATTCTAAAAGTCTGTCAAATAAAACACCTCATATGGCAGATGATTAGGACCCTAAGAAAAACATATTTTAGAACAGTCAAGATGATGTACGTGTTCCCTTTATATGTGGAAAGTATTCATGCACTCACTCTACATGGCGATATTTCTTTATCACCCTTTGTACGTAGCCCAACTTCTTCTGCCCAAAGTTTATAGTTAATATTTTTGGTTTGTTTTTGTAATCATGCTATCATTGTGCCGATAGATTCCGAAACTGACTTCCTAATGCTGTTGGGTATTTTTGTAACTATCTCATCTGTGCTTCAAGTATCTTTGAATTTTAGCGCTTATCATATTGGATAACTATCCTTAATTTGTTTCTGTATGAACTGATTGTCTCTGTTCTATATTACTGAGACTGATGCGCATTCGCTTTTTTGAAGGACGTTTACTTTTGAAGAGCGGTAGTAAAATTCTTTCATAACTCACATTTTACAATTGCTCTCTCACCTTTGGGAAAAACTGGATTGATCTGTTTTTTTTTTTCGTTAGGTGTAATATTGTACATTTATCTTGTGTAGTATTTTTTGTATATTTAGAATTATGTCTTATCAAGTGTAGTTGTAATTGATGTCCGAACTTATTGGGAAAAGTACTGTTTATGCATATGAGTTTCTTTTGTTCGAATTTTTTTTTATTGTGCCCATTTCATATCTTATTAAGTTCTGTCTCGTCATTAAAAGAAAGTTGCTAGGTATTATCATCTTTTTGGTCTGTGAGAACTTACAATGTGTTACATAAAATTCAACGGGATAGGTGTACTGAAATTATTCGAATTCTGAATCTTACACTTGGTCCTAGCCAAATTTTAGATTGATATCAACCAGAAATTCTTGAAAGACACCTCTGAAATTTAGCAACGTTTGGCTAAATTTAATTAAGTAAGAGTAGCTGGTCATCACATGTTTGTTTTAGAGTTTTGAGGATAGTACTTCAGTTCAAGCGCTTATGGAAATATCTTCCAAAGTTTGGGGTCCAGATATAATCGAGTCAAATAATCAAGGGTGATGGCCGCCCAAGTACATCATAAGAATGTCACGCATTTAGTTCCACTGATTATCTTGAAGAGAGCAAACGCAAAGAACCAAACAGAAAAACACGGATCCATTTTATTTTGTATGGTTCTCATTAGTTGCTTACAGCGTCCACTATTCCGGAAAGCAAAATTATTGTGAAGTTTACTTATTTTAATAGTAAAGATGGATATATATCATCATGATGCAGTGATGAGATTAAAGACGTATTGAGAGTGATGTGAATAAATATATATTTTGGGGAAGAGTCTGCTTCATCAAACATAGTAGCGCAAGATAATACCGATATAATTGACTGATTGTATGATGTTGTCAGAAAAAATTAACAGCAAATGGCAATCACACGAGTTGAGACAGCCAGTTAAGAAGCAAAGTTAGGAATTTGTGAGAATTGATACAATTAGAGTAAGAAAAAGAGAAAACTTGCAAGAAAGGTGTCATAAACTGACGGTGAAGTTATCATTGCATGAAAAGATTAGCAACCTCCTTCTAAATACATAAGTCTGACTTAAGGCGTTTGATGGCTAAGGCTTCGAAAAATTCGAGAAAGATGAAATAGTGACAGAAGACTTAAGTTTATCAAACTGATACCTTGTATCACAGAAAAGTTTTGCAATAGCGCTGCCCGAAGCCTATAATCAACTTGGGTACAGGATAAGTTATGGTTATAGTTATTTTTAATCTTCTGTTTATTGTCACTGAAACAATATCTCTGGATTCGAATTAGGTGAAAACAGGCTTTGCATACCGGGGTTTCTTTAGGCGTTTTGTATTTACTATTTCTACATAATTTTTTCGGGTGCGTATTGTTCCAGGGACACTTTTTAACGTTATTTATTGCTGCTTCTAGTATCTCAGTAACACACATCCTTTCCGTTCTGTGAAACAGTGTTTTGATAACTTGTAGAATGCCACCACTCATTCTTTATACTTCAATGATTAGTCGCTTAAATTATTCGATAATAGTATCGACTATATTTTTGTATTTGTAATAATTCGATTACAGTATCGATTATTGTATATTTGATTCTATGTGGTTGTTTACTCGCTTATCACAAGTCTAGCTTATTATTGCCTGACTGTAAATACTAAATCATTCTTCAGCATACGGAGGGCTGCCTCGCTCACATTCTCCGGTTCGCTTCGTTTTGTTTGTACGCTTACCATTCTCATGTCTGTCTGCATAGATGAATGCATGAAATAAATTAATCCGCAAAGCAGTATCTGGCTTCTTACTACAGCCATCGCGCAAACGGAGTTTGCCTAAGTATGATATACGGAAATGGACAGGAAGATTTATTTCATTGCACACTCGATCATTAAGTCCGCACTGCAGTCCGGTCGTGAGCCGCTAAAAACCAATCGAACAAAAACTGTTAAAATTCAGATAAATTCCATTCCACATATCTTTAGGAGTAACTGAACATTGAACCAAACAGTTGTATAGAAATGTAGAGAAAATAAGACACAACAGACGGAGGATGATAAAATTCAATGTTTGTTTCGTCAAAAAGAAACGTTGAGTGATGCATCTTAATCTATTTAATTGCATAACTTCTTTCAAATTCATAATATTAAGTCGTGTTTGCAGAAGACTCTCATTCCTATAGCGTTCACTGGATTTTTTCAATTGTGTGGTATTAGAAAAGATTTTAACCCAACCTATCCGAAATCGTGTACATGACTGAACAGTAATACCCATAACCTCTCGAAGACCCCTAGTTAGATTTTGTTATTTTCCTTCTTAACTCAGTTTGTTAAACGTTAGTAGTCGTATTCTGATTATGGTTTGGTCGACAGGGAATTAGTACTAATCTGAGATCTTCCAGATAATGTTATAGTTTACTTTTTGAACCCTTTCTATAAGTAATATACGTACGCTAATCAATCAAATAATCCTACTGATTAGGATTTAGTTGATTTTTAAATGTTAGGGTTAGGCTGACACCAACAGACAGATTATTTATATTACTTTAAAACTGTTGTGCAAAACTGTGATTTTCTTCACTTAGTATTAATCTTAAATTGTCGGTTTCATATTATTTTGATGGTTGTTGTATATAGAATGTACTGCTAGGGTTGGTGAAATCTTTCTATTTATTTAATGTTTGTCTTAATTACCTTGATGTGTATACCAGTATGGTTATCGTAAAGTTATTTGGTTTGAGAGAATTTTAGGATTAAGTTTGTTTTAAAAAAATTTTCACTCAAAATACTTATGTCTAAAAAGATAGACATCTAATTTGATGGACAGAACTTTATGTGTACTAACTATGTTTGATTATCCTAATGAAAGTATTAATTTTATTTCTTCTTTCTCAATTTCGCTTCTCGCAGGAAGTTTCAGATTTTCAGATCTATGATCTTCTCATAACAGATGAGAGCAATTAGACTATCTTCTAGAGCTGAAGCTTATTTAGTGTTGATAAGCTGATTTACCAGACCATGTATTTCATGAGAAACTTTAATCTGGTAGTTACTGTCTCACTAAATAATTTTAATTGTTACTCAGCACTTTCTAGTTAACAGCAGAGTTGGCAATAACCTCTCTCATATTAAATACCAAAAATAATTTCAATTCAGTAGGATGTTAGTAACCACTTGTATATTAAACTAAATATATAACTTAGATCTTATAGTTATTCACCAGATAACAGTGTGTCATTTGAAACTTGTAGTGAAATAGTTTTACGAAGAGAACGCAACTGGTGAAATGGAAACATTTATTATTGTACCCAATTGTTTAACCGTACTAAAAACCATTGCTTACGCGGGTCACGTGTTGCTAACATTGCTCGGTTGCCTCCATCGTTGCTACTACGCCTCCTACGATATTCTTGATATCTTTTCGGTATCACGAGATCATCAATCAATAAACCTCGTTCTCCAATCACAGCTGGACTTTTGATTTTTGGTCTTCACGGGATTTAACTTGGTTATCTCGCGTTAAGTAGTCTCAGTTCGCTACAAACTTTTAAGAGTCTATGAAGCGACACCTGAGTTGTGTGAGATGAGTTTATGACAAGCATAGTGGGAATGTATAAGGAAATAAACATTTATTTGAATAATGTCTCAAATTTTAATTAGCTGGACCGTTTATTTGATTAACACAAGGTTTATAATATATGCATAAACTAAGTTTATTCTTATATTTTACTTCAAGAATGACTTCAATTGTTCTTGAATTTGCTGTTTGATGATTTCATCATCGCAGGAAGCTATTTTTGACTGTACACAAAAGATGTATTGTGTTTTACATTCTGAATCCTCTTTGCATTTCTTTAGTTTATCTTGGATATCTATTGGTTCTTGAATAAGAATAATATTGAAATTCACGTTAAAAGAATTTAAACGAGTTACACAGTAAAAAATGAAACAACATATCTACAGAATTTAAGATTTAGTTTATCAGAGCTACTGATCGTACAGATAATTCACACCGGCAGTGAAAACTAGGGTGTACTAAATAACGCAATCAGTTTTCAATGCATGTAAAATGTAGCTCTACTAGTTACGGAGATAATTATATAAGATAAATATAAATAATATACATTTATCATTTGTTGTTTGTATAACAGTTTCTTACAGACAGATTCGATGTTTCTAAAACCCATCTAGGCCAACTTTCTGCAGTAAGCTGATTTATATTTCTGAATACTTACAGGTTCATAAAAATTAATAGTTGTGTTGAAAATAAACAATTAAATGAATAAAAAACCAAAAACATTGTGTCATTATACATTTGCCAGATGTAATAGTTAATTAAAGTGAATTTTCAGCACATCCAACTACATTTTATTCCTGATAACTCAAGTAAAAGAAAATAAACAGTAACCAAGGGATGATACTTAGAAGGGTTATGTTTCAGAAAACGACATGGTGACAAACAAAAATATTCTGAAATGATTTTACCACCTTTATCTTTGCCACAAGGCTTTCTAAATCTAATTTCATACTTTACCCGCTTAAATTTTATTCTAAAATTTGAGCTATACAACTAGTGCTTCTAGTAAAAAACCAATCAATAAGATTTTCTTGAATAGAGAAAAGTAGGGAGATGTTATTACCACATGAATCGTTTTAGCAATGAACTTACGATCTCTGAATGGTTCCATAATACATTTGGGAAGATCAATCAACATTTGAACACATTTGGCGAATTCTGATTTCACAGTAAGAGAAAAATATGAAGCTGTTAACAAAATTAAAGTAAATCTTAACATTCTTTAAGTGTAATTAGTAAGGTTGAAAGGAATGGCGAAAAAAAGGTTTATTGCCTTTCATTCTTGCTTTGTATAGGAACTATGACCAATCAGAAATCCACCGTTTGAATGAACAAATCAAGTAACAGTTGAGGTCAAAACATCAATTGGATAGAACTTTAACAGCCTTACACTCTAAGAGTTGTTTTATAATTGAAATACTAAGCATTTGGGAATTTTAGATAAATATTATGTTCCTTTACTTCATGTGCCAGCAATGATGCTAGCAAAAAAACTCGATCGCGCTGATTTAAATGCATGTATCTTGATTGTTTTGAACTGTAAGAAGTTAGTAAATATTCTCTGATTTAGCTAAAGTTCTAATTAACTTAATGAAAATAGGAAGTCTGTAACATATGGAACACATGATAAAGAAACTGAAGTTTAATAAACAAGTCAAAGTCTTACATAAACGTTCATCCATGTATTTTCTAATTATGACTCTGATTAAAAATGTCTTTTTTGTTCGGTATTGGATTTTCCCAATTAACTATTTCGTTTTGAGTTTTACTTGTGTAAGTGTACAGACAGTTTGTTTAAATTTCATAATTCTATGTTTATCTATATAGAACTGTATTTCTTGAACAAAATTTTCAGTTGTGACTGACAGCATTTCAGGAGGATAAGCTATTTTAGAGAACCACTTGATAGATAGTTGACTCAAAGAAACAGATTCTGCCTCTGATATTTCTAATCTCAAGGTGAACTTCAACACTGAGATAAAATCACATTTAGGCTGGTGAGTCCCAAACAAGGTGAAAAGTATGCCCTATATTTCATTATTAGCCACGATCCATATCCGCTTAAAATGATTGCAACTTAGCGGTTATATCCCCGCAATCCACACGGAATGCAAATATTCCGAACGAGACTGATCAATTAGAGTTTTAAACATCGATGGGACGGGTCGAACAGCAAATATAATGAGTAGTAACCAATGTAATGTATGTAAAATCCTTCTTTGGTGTTTATCGAATTCGATCAAACAAGTTACATTGTGGCAACTGGTCTAGGTGAATGGATACTGCATGGTTGCGCTGCTGTCAAGAGTGGTACAATGGTCATTCGAATTTCGTACTGTATCCTACCGTCTAAGTGTAAATAAAATACTAGTCGGTAGTTTCTAGCGTTTGCAAATCGGCTCATTTCTAATGCATTTTGCTTAGTTCAGCTTTGGCATTCGAGCTGTTTATACTTCATGACTTCAGATTTATTAATTCTTCTAGCTAAGAGATATAATATATCAGTCTTTGATATCTTAGTCATAATTTTAGTTAACTACTACCATACAGAAGTTGTATTGATGTTATAAGTAGGTTTATATGGACGTGATTACATTTATTCGAATTAAATTAAAACTTGGACAATAAGTTTCCAAGTTTGTTCGGGTAAACAAAAATATATCTATCAATGTTTAAGTGATTTCATTCATTTTTTTTGACAACTGTGAGAAAATAATTTGATTAAACAAAGAAAAAATTAAGACAAATGTTCAGCATGCAATATTATTTCTTTATATCAAATAAACAAACTTTACAATTAAAATTAAAATGACTAAATTACTTAGACAAATTTGTCTATATCGTCTTATAAATTCGAAGCTGACTTTTCATATTTGATTAGGGTTGTTAATATGTGAAAGTTAAGTGTTGAAAAAGTTAATTAAATAAGATTTTTATTTAAACTAATAGTTTCGCTAACAGGCATACTGTGTTTTTTTTCAGTGATAATAATAATAGTAATGGTAATATGTATAACGATGATAATAAAGATAAACACTATGTTAAATATTTCAAGCTGATGAACAAGAATGTACACGAGAATATAGAGAAACTTATTTCTGAAAATTTTTTTATTCAATTTCTAACAACGTTTATTAGTGCAAGTATTGAAGAGAAAAACGAATTTTGATTTACATACACAAATTTTGAATGCTAATATTTATTTTTGAACATGATTTATCTATATTGCCTAAAATATTAGTGTTGAAATTATAATTAGTTTAGCCGTCTTTTAAAATGCTTATAACCTATAAGAAAAGATCATGAAAATTGTGCTGGATTTTCTGTGATTGTAAACATTTCACCGTCAATACGTTTTGTCATCATATTATTACTAACAATACTATTGTTTAAATGTTCATTTCCTCTATGTGGCAGTAATGCAGGTCGTATGAAAATGGACTTTGGAATAACGAGACCAGTATTCGGTTGATGATAAAATGATGATAAAACAGGTGTTTGTTTAGTTGGATAGTCGTGGTGTTCAGGTAATTTAACATTGATTCTTGTTGTCGGTAAAGTTGTTACTGTTGATGTTGGTTCGATTGGTGCATAAAAATAACCAGTCAAGTATAAATTCCCTGAATTTTCGTTATTATTCTCATTTCTATTATCTTGTGTAACATTAATTAGTTTTCCATCATTTAAAACATTAGAATTTTGTTCAGTGAATAGATCATATGTAAACTTGTCTTTCAGTAATGTTGAAGTTGTTGACGGATTACTTGTCACTGATACTGGTGACGGTGTATTTGAAAGTAAATGTGCATTTCTTGACACATCATGACGTAGGGCGTTTGAATTGGGTATTTCTGTTGGCTTTCGGCCAAATGATCTGTTCAATCTGGTGTTGACTGGCATTATATGACTAGATGGTAAATATTCATAACGTGTATCTGTTGGTACTTGTGCTGCAATATCTGATTTTGTACACCAGATAGGTTCTTTTTCATCGATTAAACTCCATGAATGATTGTATAATGGTTCACTAGTAGTTAAACAGGTTTGTTGACTTTCATTAGGTAGACGATTTCTATAATGAGTATGTATGGTTTTTGTATGATATTTGCTTATTAATTTAGCAATATCATTCTCATCGTATGACCAACGATGACGTCTACATGACCAAACCAATATGACCGTTATTAAGCTGCCAGTTAGTAATCCACATATAACTACAAGTATCAAATGTGTAAGAGTGAAACCTTCAGTTTGAGTTATATAATTAATTCTTGGTTTATTGTAACTGGCTAAATAGAATAAAACAAAACAAATGATTATTTTAAAGAAAATTTAATAGACTTAATAATAAAGAATCACTAAATATCAATGAAAATCTTATCGTATTTCAGTCGGTTAGACAAGTGAAATAATAAACTTTGATAAATTCGGATTCTTTGACAAGAATATAAAATTTTAATTAGTGTTTTTCGAAATAACTTTATTGATATCATTATCTTGAAACTTTTTTTATTAATTACCATAGATCTACATGTGTTCCTGAGTAGTTGAGTACAATTCAGTATGAGATGGTAGAGAAAATTTGTAGCTCAGGTGGATGATGATTGTGGTGGTGTTTCGTTCTCTGAGCTGGATGTTTTGGTTGTGGAGAAATTGGAATGCTTCACTTCTATATGAAGTTTGTGCTGAAGATGTTATTCAGAAGAACAAAGAAAGCTCCATAACCAAAACATCCAGCTCAGAGAACGAAACACCACTACAATAATTCACTATCGTTTCAACCAAACATTATCACTAAATGAGCTGTCTGATTGTGTTAAAAAACCGAGTTCAATTTGGTTTTTAATCTTGCTTATTTCTTCTTATGAGAAATCGTAAATATGTTATTTTAATTTTACTCAATGAACTAAAATAATCTTCAGCGAATAGTTGCTTCTATCAATATATTACCTAAACCTGTGTGATAAACAAACGGGCAGTTATGACTGCTTAAATTAAACATCTGTGATTGTTGAACCGACAAACTGGAGTTTAAAAAAAACTATAAAATCACAACAAAATGGGTTTTTGAGAAACTTCATGTATATTTCTGTTTTCGTGGCATTACTGAAATGGACTAAAAATTTTATGCAGATTATATTAATCAGATTGATTTTAGAAATGTGTATTTATCAACTGAGTTTACAAATTGTCATACGTCCTTAGATTTAAATTATATATTTCAAACAACTACTATGATTTCATTAGCCTCAAAAGTCTGCCAATTTTCGATGACAGTGAAAACAAAGGTAAAACCACCATTTTGTTATTAGTAAGTGGTTTGAAAATAAAGTTAATATGCAACCGACATTTTCAATATATTTATCAATAGTTATACGAAATTTCAGTTTCATTACCTGATTTCGGTATGATATTGGATTGTTTAAACCAGCTTTCATCGTCCAAACATGATCGTTGTTCGATATTATTTCCCGAGCAAACTGCATTAGGTCGACATTGCCTTTTCCGTATTTGAATATTATTGGTTGTATCACAGTCACTCCAAGTAGACCAAGGAAGCCAATTTTGATCGTAGCCTTGAAATAAATGAAAAAATTTATTGGTGGTTTAGTGTTGAGTAAAGGTTGAAAACATACGAATGTTTGTACTGCCTTTGAGTTGGAAGTATTTGGATCTTACTTCGATAATTAACAGATCTGCTAAATGTTTTATAAAAACTAATTTGTTGTAAAATCATCCCGATAACTTTAGACTAAGTGTGGTTTGTCTGTTTACATGATTATGTATCAGAGTTACAGACAACCTTCTTCAGTTGTCGAACTTAACATGACAAATAAACGACAGTTTCCTATTAAATAATTCCATTTGTAAGCAAAAGAAAAATTCCTACATTTGAAAGCTTCTCTCTAACATTTATCAGTTTGTAAGTAAGTTATCGAGACCTGGAGTAGTTTGCCATAATCTTTGCATGAAATAAATTCCTCACAATTGCTACATTGATGATTATATCTCCTCCGAAATTGCCTTAAAAGTGATTACATAAGTGACTGTATCCCACAGTACTAGTCAAGTGATAAGGACATTAAATATTTGATTGTTATTGCTGAGAATACTTATCAAACTTCTCTTGTGCAGATATTTTGCACTCAAACTATCCCTAGTTTATTTGACTGATTAAAACAGTGTTTATCCAAATCCGTAGATCATAGAACAACCTTGTCTAAATACGAAAGCATAGCCGTCACAGTAATCTTTGGTATTTTTTTCCTGGCGTACTCAGTTTTCGTTTTGTTTTCTCTAGTTGTACTTGAATATAATATCTCTTTAACAACACTTAAATTGGCCCTAATACAAGATGTTTCAGTACTCTCACTAATAACTACCGGTTCCTAACTGTTGTCGTTAACTATTTTAAACTTTGTGACAACTTTCCTTTATATATAACATTCCTTTTTACATCAACCTGATCGTGCCTGTATATTGGTACATAAGTCTGGTTGGAATTCGATTTTCAATTAAAATCTCAGTATTACTGGTAGTCATGAACAAAATCTCTTTATTATTTGAAGTATGCTGATTTGGAATGATATAATGGGTAAACTAGAGCATAAACGGCTGTCAGGTAAAAATAAGTGAGATCATGACTATAAATTACTAGCTTTATCAGGTAAGTATGAAACGTTGAACACAATATTACTTGTCTAACCAATTTTACTTTAACACTTACTTTACTATCAGTAGAGCTATTTAGACATAAAGGTGAACTTAAGTAAGTAAATGGGAATCCCAAACCACATTGACTAACAGCGGGTGTCATAATAATAATACAACAAATTGATGAAGAAACAAACTCTGGAATGTTTTCATTAATAATGTAATTAAACACAGAGACATGGTCGATGTTTATTAAACACAACCACTATTTGGTTGCATGAATATGTAAAGATACACCAGAGATGTATTTCAAAAAGTAGACAGAAATAAGGGTTTTGTTTCAATATAACTATATTAATTTATTTATGAATAAAAGAATTTTTGTCCTATCAAGTGAACGTACAAAAAGGATTTCTATTTTAAAGGAAAGACAACACTTGAATATATCTTCTTTTCCTTTATTGTTAAGTATCTGGTACTATAATTTGGGCAGGAGAAGACAAGAGCGACTGGTACCCTTTCAGTGCAGAATATTAAAAATAACTAGTACTCAAAATTCTATCCTCATCCTTTGTACGACCCCGTGTTATCCAATTATCTATTGATATAATTTTGGAAACAGTGACGGTTTAAGAAAAGAGTTATTGGGATAATATATTCACTTAGATTTGGTCAAGTATTTCAACATCCTTGCTGCTTCAATTTCAAGAAATGTGAACGTGATTCATTATGCATTATGATAGACGACTAGGCGACTAGGTGTTATGTAATTGGAGACAACTAATATATCGTTCTAAATATAGGTTTCGTGACTGTTAAAATCAATAGAAAAATGAACATCTGCAGTTTTGGGCTAACCCATGTCCACTCAAAAATTCGAACTCAAGTCAGTTAGTCCAGCAGTTAATGGCCTCATTACTACAGTATTTAATTTATCCTTATGACGAGGTTGAGAAAACCAGTCTATCACATTGTTGTCAAGTGTGAAAACCATTGCCTGAAATCGGTTGCCGTTCAATGACTTCATTTTAACTATGTACCTGGATGAATATAACGACAAGTATATTCAAGTATATATTCTGAAGTATATTCTGAAACTTCAAATATCGAAACTTACGAGTACAATTTTTAACTTGTTGTATACCAAGAACACAATTAACTTGATTGATACAAACTCGGCATAAACAACTGCCCAACAGTTCATTTGATATATCATCATTAACACTTTCAATAACATCATCACCTTGCTGGTTGTGAATTGTGATAGGAACTAGATCACCCGTTTGGTGTGAAATAAGCCATTCGCAATCGTACCACTTTGTCCATGAACTCTCTTTATCTTTATAGAATGAAAGACGTTTTGTTGGACATTGGTGATTACTTCGTTGTCTATGATCGATTGATGGTGAAAATGTACTTAAACGATTAATTTGTACGGTAGACTCAAATAGATATCCACTTGAACATCTACCTTCAGACCAATTCCAACCACAATGTGGGTCTTTCGAGTTAAGACAATCATCAAATGTTTGATATTCAAAGCAACGTGCCAATGGTATTCGAAACAATTTTTTATTTGTCATGATATGTAAATTGGAAGCCTAAATGAAGAAAAACACAAAACATTCACACATTATTAACTAGATTAGTTCAATACTTTGCTCACGGAGAATAAAATCAGCACCTTGAGTAGACTGATAATGTCTATTTAATTAATATTTAAAATGTTGCTTAAACATAGGTTGTTCAAAATTGTATTGTTAAAATCTAGCTGTTAAGTCCATTAAACATAAGACAAGGGCATTCCCCGAAGGTTGGTCAAGAAATGTACCTGCTCACAACTAAAGCACTATATAAAAATTTTATATCATTTGAAGAATTGTTGAAAATTAGGAGTACTAAAGGACTAGTTTCTCGCACTGTAAGACTTTTTATTAGCGCTCACCCTCGTACTAACCTAACATCAAGCTCTTTATAGTCATGTAATCTCATTGTAATCCACTTAATTAACTTGAAAGATGATCCTTCACTTTTCATAAAAATCTGGGTTTTTTTTCATAACTATCAACGTGAGAAGAAAAGACAGTGCTTTTACATCCTCGAAATGTTGTCGAATAATTAAAAGGCAACATACAATTTAACCAAGCTTAAGGCTACTGAAAACTATGATAGATTTAGTTTGATTGATGACATGAAGTCACTGAAACTGACTGTTATGCGGCTGAATACATTATGTGAATACATTTCATGTAAGATTAACTCAAGTATCTAGTAATTCAAATTTATCAATAAAAATTATAATTAGAATGTAACGAAAACTGATTCATTAAAAATAGTTCTTATTTGCATGAATATCCATCATATATATCACATACAAAATAACAGCACCCAACAGTCAACCATTCTCGTAAGCATTTGGTTACCTGGCAACTAAAGAAGGTGAAAATCAATATAACCTTTGATGCAGCCCTTCAATAAAACAAGCTGTGCTAACATAAAAATTTTACCAAAGATTTGAATTGAATTTACAACTAATTTTGCGTATATGGATACAGTTACAATATTTGTTCAACTTATTAAGTAAAATAATTAAATTATTTCCGCTTTTAATTCACACCAAAACCATGCATAACAACACTCAGTTAGTAGTATGTTTAAAACCAAAAATTTGATTGACACTTAATTATGAAATATTCAAATAGAACATGAGGTTGAAATGGAAATCCATTGTCAAAAAATCCTTAATTTTTATCTTTTTACATTTTGCACAGAAAATAATCCACTTTTTTTTCAAAATAAATAAGATGATTGTAATTTCTAACTTTTTTGTTTATTTTCATCAATTGTAAATTTTAATTGTTCGTAAAAAAAAATTAATTAATTAATTAAATAATTTAAACAGGTATAAACTAGAAAAGATGTTGTGTTTTGTAATTTTCTCTCTTTTTAAAAAAAGCATAGATGAATAGATAATTTAAAATATAAAAAAAAGGAATGAAAAATTAAAACAATTGTTTTAAACTGATGATTAAGATGTTTGCTTAATTTCAATGTATAAAACAAATTTTCTTCGTTTTCTCCATAAACTCCTTAAACTAAACAAAATTAAGATTGTCAGATTATGTACACTTCCATGAGGCTTTTGTTTGTTGTTGACTACTAGAAATTGTGTTTCCTTTTTCACGGGTCAAACAAAAATCTCCTTGCATAACTCGATAAAATACAATAAAAAAAATGATGAAAAACACTAAAAAAAACCATCGCATACACTTGTTTATGTTGTTTTTTTTAATTTTATTTACGGGTATTTATTTATTACAGTCGCAAAAATCATCATTTAAGCCGGAAAAAGTAACTTTATGCTTAAATGATTAAAACTTGTGATAAAATGAATGATGATTCAAGTAAACTATTCATTTGAAATAACATTGATGCGAGGTATGATAATTTCTAACTTCTATTTTACTACTGGTTTCTTGTTCAGAAAAAATTAAATCCAGTCAATTTTATCAATTTATGTCTATACAAAATTAATACCGTTTTGTAAAGTTTTAACAGGAGTTTGTTATTGTTATTGTCAATACATAGCTTATTATCAAGATCAAGTAAAGTACTTTATCTTTTTGTATTCAACGCTACTTTTCTTACTGAATTACTTGATAAACCACTAAAATTATAGATCAGCTGTTTCTCATGGTTAATTAAGAAAGAAAATAAAATTGTTAACAAATGATTTCATTTTTTGTTTTGTTTTACTCAGTTTAAGTGTTTGTCAATCAAAAGTTAGGTTAAAATTAAATTAGATTTATAATTTAAACAGTTCATTATCGTGAAACTATTTTATAAACTATCAACCTGAATGAAAATTTAATCCGATCCGAATTCAAGTAAATTATGTCAGTGTTTAATATATATTCATTCTGATTTATATAAATTACTGATGAGCTATGAGTATTCAATACAATATAACATTACGGGGTTGTGAAGATTGTTAAGTAACACATTTTTGAAACCATGAATCGATCAATGCTAGAACACAATTAGAAACCTGGAAGCACTGGACGGCCGTTTCGTCCTGGTATGGGACTCCTCAGCAGTGCTCATCCACGACTCCTGCACCCCGCAGGCTCAGTGGTCCGATGGTTAGGCGTTCGCCTACAATACTGAAGGTCCTGGTTTCGAATCCTGCGGGGTGCAGGAGTCGTGGATGCGCACTGCTGAGGAGTCCCATACCAGGACGAAACGGCCGTCCAGTGCTCTCAGGTTTCTAATTGTGTTCTAGCACTGATCGATTCATAGTTTCAAAAATACAATATTAATCATGGAGAGGTGTCGATCAATTTGTTTTTTTGTCTTTATTATTTTATCCTTATTAAACCAATTCATTAATTTTTATTCAACTATAAGTGAAATAATTAAGGAGCTTTAGTTTCTTAAGCTTCTACTACAGAACGAAACCTTTTAATAGAAATCACTAATCCGAATAAAATTATTTCCTGTTTTTTCACTTAGCTTTTCTAATTTAAAGCATTGTGTAAATGCTTAGTTATTTAGTAAAACAGTCGAAGGTTTCGATAAAAATGTGCTTGATAGTGTGCCTATGAAAGTTCTCATCAGTTAATTATCTTATAAATAAGCAAATAAATGAAATTAAGAAATTTTGGGAGTAATTTTCTGGTGAGTCAGCATAAATGTTTTTAATATTTCTTCATTATATAATTGATTTATGGTATTTTGATAATGTCCTAACTGCAATTTTCCATTAACTGTTGTCATTAGCTTTTCCATTAATAAATGACTACTAATTAATTATAGACCGATTACATAGATTTTAATTACTCACCTATTTTGATTTATTATTCACAGTGAATTACAAGCTTGTATTGCATATATGCAATCTCACATGAATTTTAAGCGTAACAAAATACAGAACACGGTGAGTTACTAGTTCGTTTGTCTTGGCTTTCTAATTGGTAGATTTTGGTATTCGTGAAAAGTCGGTAATTGACGTATACAAAGACCGTAATAACTGACTAATAATTGGTGAGGCATAGATATAAACTCATATCAAACGACTACAGCTAACCTGAATTGGATAAACTGATATGATATATTTAAGGCCCTTTCAACACAAAATTCATTGACCAACATTTAAACCACTCTGGAACCTCTATATGATCGCGCATTGGTAACCTGTTTATCATCACATAGCAGTTTTAACTATTATCTTAAACATCTGTTCCCCTTGTTTGAGAGATAAGATTTAGTTGTGAACTCTTTAAAAAACCACTTTTGCAAAATCTTACACTATTTGATTACATAGTTTTCTAGGTGATTTTATTATTCAGATTAAGATCGTAAGGACATTAAATAATCAATACAAGTACTTTTTGGCATTCAGAAAAAATGAAAATCGAAGTAGTTTTTTTATCCCGGGTCAAACTGTACTTGACACATATTTTTGTGTGATACACACAAATATACAAAACAAAACTACTGTTAAATGACTTCAAATTAGTTTAGTCAACGTAGTACAGAGTTTGGAAGAATCATATTCACATTATGTCGGATTTATGAAGGTTTGTGGTTTTTAAGTATTTCAGCTGAATTTTGAGTACCACAAACAAAAGCAAAATGGGACGTGATTAGTAATTACAATTTCACATATCTTTTATTGAAATTCGTGTTTTAATTCAGTGAAAACTGTTCCATAATGCTATCAAGGATTCTTATATCAGCTTATCATAAAGAATGATTTTTCTTACTAAGAGCAAGATGCACTAGGCATGTATTAACTAGCTTCTGTTAAAAACTTGTTTCTTTAAAAATAGTCTGAAGTTATAATATATTGAATATGTGGTACATAATGACAAAAGATGAAATCGCAGTTTTCAAAACTGACACACATTTGTGCTGAATCAATGGAAAAACTCAGTGACAGCTTGTAAGGAATTGCATTTGTACGTGTGCATATGATAAACTACATGAAGGAATTAACTTTTATTGATACGTAAACAAGGAAATCTTGTCTTTTAGGTAATTGAAATAGTATTAGAGATATTAATTACTTTTACTCTGAGTCATAATGAAAAGTTATAATGTAGACATTATTATGAATTAAATGCATGAAAAATTTTCTATCTTAATTAAATGAACAGTATATTTTATGTGTAATTTAGATAATGAACAATAAAGTAGTTGTAGTTGAAAAGCAAAAAAAATAACCAATCTTCTGTTTCTCCCTTATCCGCCTATTATAAAATTGATCACCAAGAAGATAAAACAATGAGAAATAAGAAGTCTTCGGGAAAGCTTTTTTTCTAAATATTAAATGTCGGCGTCACTAACCGTTCATATTGTTTAATTATCTATCTGTCGTTTTCTTAATTATTCCTATTTGAATGCAGAAATCTATCTGTGAAATAATGAAAATGTATTTTTTGTTGCTTACACTTAGACATCCTCAGATAATGAACACAAAAAAGTTGCCGCTTAATACTTTTTTTTTACGCAGAACTAAATTAAAAGCAGCTTATGCCGTCACCCCAATGATTGTTGTATGATCAAAGTAAAATTGAAGAAATACCATAATATTTAAATCCGTCACTAGTTTGCGTTAACAATAATTATGTGAAATGGTGTAAACAACATAAGATATAGACTAAACACTGCCCTAAATTAAACAAATAAATTTATTGTCAACAGTAAGTAATGTGTTCGCTGTTGAAATATCCATCTCCTGAAATTTGTAAATTCAAGAAAAAGAAATCACTGTAAAATAAACAACATAACCATCTGATCAAAGTTAGAGAATATGATAAAAATCATCTTAAAAGCCTAGAGTAACTGGTAAAAAGGATAATTATAAATCACCATGCTTTTCTACCTTAAAATCTTTTTGATGACAGTTTTTTTGTGTCTTGGTTTAAAAATAGTCAATTTTATTCAGTTAGTAAATTTTGGTCTACTTAGTAAGTGTGATTCATTAAATTACATCAAATTATATGCCATACCAGTTTGTGTTACGTTGGTTAAGTTTCAGATAGCTCTTTATAATGAATCAACACCAGTTGAATAGCTATGGAAGATAAACTTGACCGGGTTAAATGAAAGACAGATTGACTGCAGTTAGAAATTTGAATATTTGAGAATCTACACAGAAAATGACAACAATCAACCTCAGGAAATGAACAAAAAATGTCTGGTCCACTGGTGAATCGTGCTACTGAGTTATAAAATATCAAACGTTTTTAGTTCAGTAGTATATGATAAAGCATTTTTGTTAACAAACTGTCCAAGTTCAGATAAGACAATAAATAGTTTCACTACATTTATATTCGAAATCTCATGCAGAGGTATAAAAATTATTTTGAAAGACATTAATGATAAAATGTTCTTACTGATATTTCAATAAGACGAATTTCTTCGTTTTCTATTTTACCAATGATCTCTTCATCGTAAAGTTTATTTATTTGTGATGTTTTAAATGAGTTCATTCTTATACCTTTAGTTATTTTAGAAGGATCCTTTTGATTCCACATGGAGTCACTGTGTACTTCAAACTTTTGGTTAACGTTTGAACTCAATTTATCAGATGGTAACTGAAGAATTACTGTTTCAATTTGACGTCCAAGAAAAATCTCTTTGATTTTGCATATTATGGGTTTCGTTTCATAATTGTTATCTGTTGAATATCTCTCTCCATTAGGCAGTGTTATACTGCTATACGTATACACTACGAATTGAATCAAACGTTTCCTTGTGCCAACCCATATGAGGCTTGTTTTGACCTGTTCTTCACTTTGATAATGATTTATTAGTGAAGGTAAATTATAAGCTTGTAAATGCACCCAATTATCACCTGTTTGAGATATTAATGCATGACCATGTAGTGGTTTGATTGGTAAATAACGGTAAGGAAAACGTAAAGATAAAAGTCTTCCAGCTTTTACTTCTTCTTCAGTTCTGTTTTTGGAATTGAATCTTGAACACTGAAATTTGAACACAAAATTTCAATGATTACAGTATAGACCTAATTTTTAATATAATTCTGGAAATGTAGCCGATAGCTGAATAATGTAATTCTTAGCAAGTAAATAAAGAAAGAGTTCATGGAATAAAAATCTTACTGATTTCATTTTTGAGTCATGAACACTGCATTTACTGTTACTCTGATTTATACACCTACAGCTTATACAACCTCATGTTATACATTAAACTCTCATTTCAAGATTATTTCATCTTGTAGTGCGTGTACTTTTAAGTAGAGCCAACAGGGCTTTCTCAGCCTTTGAACAATTTATTCAATGCATTCTTCCTGAATTATTTATTCAAGTCTTCCAACTTTGCTAACTATTAGCTTTTATCTTGGTTGTTTTTATTTGAGTATGCATTCACGCTCACTTCGTTTACTGCATGTCTAACTTATTTTGTCTGACTATAAATGCTTAGTTATATCCCATTACATGGAGTTGGCTCAGTTGCCTTCTCTACGTCATTTTGCTCTGCTTGTATGCTTCAAATTATCATGTCTGTCTGCATGAACGATTGACGGATTTAAACTCATCGAATCGAATCCATACTTGGCTTCTAATTACTGCAGTCGCAAAAATGGGGTTCGCCTAAGTATGATATATGGAAACTGAAGGGGAGATTTATCTCATAGACTATCAAATAGTTCACAAACAAAGGAGTCAGCTCACGGGCCACTAAAGCAGTGAGTCCAACTTTGAGTTTGACGTAGCCCACAAAAATCTGCACAAATTAATGAATATTCATTTATTTCCAGACTATCCTTGATTGAAGATATCCCAAAATTTATGTTTTGATTCAGTACTATTAAAAAAAGCCTAAATATTCTACAACTTATGAACAACTTTTATTGACTAGATATTCTGCTTTGAATTTGTCATTAGCATTTTTATTGATTTTAAGAATGAATGCTGATGCTTATAATGATGTAACATTTAACGATCATCGGCACAACAAATTATGCATAAGACATGTTTACTGATTTTAGTTAAGCCAAAGACATGAGGAAAGCTGTATATAAACTATGGTTATCAGAACAATTCTAAGTGCAATCAGCTAAAAATGAGTAGATCAGTTTAAGCTGTTAGATAATTAGTTGTTTTCTCAGTTTAGTTTAATTTGTATTAATCAAGTTTTCATGTTACATAATGTCATGATGTCCTATCGGGATAATTGAATAGTCTAGAAGCAACAAGATGAATTAGAAATTCTCATATTAAATAAAGATAAAGGAATGGTATAAAGATGTTTGAAAGTTTTAAAAGTTTTTTTCAACATTAACTTCAATTATTATACTCCTCAATAATTTTTTCATAGGGTCTTCCAAAATTAGGTCATAATAAAAAAGAATATGGAAGTTTTAACAAGTATTAACTGAATAACATTGTTTAAAGTGATTCTTGATATTCAGCATTTCATTATTGAACTTGTACTTTCAGTGAAAATATCAGCACTTATGTTCATCGTGAAATAACAGAGAAGGCATGTTGAAATTGCCGACAACAATATATCATACTTTTAATAATTTCTTCTACACTTTCAATTTCATAAACTCTGGCTAACGCAATCAGTATATAGATCCAAGTTATAGGGGATATAATTTATCTAAGGATGTATAATTTTATTTAGGCTGACTATAAAGTGAATTCTCAAGAATAAAAATTACGTTCTCATTCACTATATGAACAAATCTTGAAGATTACAATAAACTACTTACAATATTTGAAAATGAATTTGGTACAGGTGATGATTTTACATGATTTTGTTTTGCATTAGTATGTATTAATGGTCCACTGAACGAAGCTTTCAGCTCATTTAAACTGTAAATACATAAAGCACTTCCAACAGGAGCAGATCTAAAATTAGATAAATGAATTATATTTAACATTGACTAGTTTTAATTAAATAATTCAGCGTATGTTAATAAGTACTGGTATACATTCCCATACAATCCTGCTTGGGTCTTTTGAAAATTATTCAAACCAAAGGATGTGAGACACTCGTCTAACTATTCACCAAATAAATATTGTTTTAGTCTCAAAATCTTGGGACTAAAGAAAAATCTATATTATACGGTAAAAGTAGGCTATTGTCTATGAATATAGATTAGTACTGGGCGGTGATGGATGCCAATTATTTAGACGGTTATCAAATTTTCGATACCTTAATAATAATAATTATTATTATTATTACTATCGTTGCTAGTGTTTAATTTATTATTCGCCTACACTAAAAGAATTCTAGCTTTATTTTAGTTGCAATCATCTTTTAATTCATATGTTTTTCTAAAGTTATGTTGACCTCTTCAAATCTTGCTTACTTATTATATAAGCCTTCAGTTATAAATTCTAGGTAATTACTATCTCATTACTGTAAACTTTCCATTTTGATTTTCAAGTGATATTGTTGTTTATTTCAGGAAATGTCAGGAAATCAAGTTTTGTGTACATATGTTGTTATGTTGTGTAAATAATTATCTAATAACGGTGCATACTTTTAATTAAAGTACAAATGAGGAGATTTGTTAAACATGCAACTGGAATTTTTAGAAAAAATATGTCTTCAAATAAGGATTACTATTATCAGAGAAACAAAAACAAAATTCTAAATGGATAATATACTTTGGTTTGACTTATTTATCTGTCTAGATCAGATTATTTTGGACACCTACCATGTGTCTGTGGTTCATACATAACACAAATTATTTACAAACTAAAGACTATATATTCTGATGTCACTATTTTTGTCGTAAAGCTTATTATTAGCTGACTGGATTAAATTTATGATGATTGAATTAGTAAACTAAGATTACCGTTTGGTTAGGAAATGAACATTAATAATGTCATCAATGAATGTTTGCGAACCACCACTGATTGAACGACTTTCCTATTTTCTTTATCGTTTATGTTCAGCATTGGTCAGTATATGTTTCCTGGCCGTTTGGCTTGAAGTTGTTTATAATGATAGATTAATAATATTTCCATTAGTAACTAGCTATATAGATTCGTCAATTAAGTCTCAAACACCGGAAATGCTTTCCGGACAAATTGGGTGTTCCATAAGTCTCCAGTATGTTGGATAAATTGATAAACCGAAAAATAATGTTAGATAATGACAGAAATAAGGTTTAGTTCAACTATCAAACAAAGATTATATAAGCGCTAAAGTATAAGTATCCAAAAAACAATTGTTAAAAATGATATGTAAAACTTACTTTTCTGTTGTAAACGTTGCATACAGTAATTGTGTATTATTATCCCAATAAGCTGCTGAAACATGTGTATAACTGAAATATCCCCCATTTTCATTTGTAGCAGGACATATTAAGTCGGCTTTAGCGAATGTTGCAAAATTATTTGAGCTGATAAATGGTAAACCACCTGGATCACCTTTACAAACCCTTACCAAACGTGCTATACTTGTTAAACAGTAAGGTTGATGCAATCGTTTTAATTTTTCGACTTTAGTCAATGTGTTTATTGAACTGTCAACATTTATTTCACATTTGGACATTTGTGAACTTGGTTGTTCTCGAAGAACGAAATAAATTTCATCAGTTGTTTCAAAAGTCAATAAAATTTGCGCCGGTTCTAAAATTTTGTCAACAAAAGCGTTAGGTAATTATACATTATTCTGTGAAATCTTAAACGTTATAAGCAATCAAGTTTTTTGGATATATAGTACTTTTAAACACAGAGTCAGGAGTCTATTTAGATTAAAGTTATTTTAAAGCAACTAAAATCGATCAGCTCAAAGAATGTATTTTAATGTCTTATTTAAATGGGATGATTTTTGGTTCTATTCAAATGGTCCTGTAGACATTAGAATCTGATATGTCTAACTATCAAGTGTACAAGTTTTCATTTATTTCCGATTTCGTTTCTCACGTTCATCAAGTTTTAATGTAAAAGGCACAACAATTTCTATGAGAAACTTGGTAGTTTTCTAATTTTTATTAGATTTTTTGTGAAGCAGCTTTATTGCTGTTTTATTGGAAATATATTGGAAATATACTTCATTATATAAGTCACCAGTAGTTTATTGATGTCAAACAACAGGTTCTAAACTGAATTTATTTAAGTATTAAATTGTATGTACATGTAGAAATGATTTCATCTTTCAAAATGTACAGAAAGGAAGAGCAACATTTTATCCAAAATATCCTGTGATTGTTCATATTGATTTATTTATTCTTGTTTAGGTATTTACTGCATAAAATAATTTATAAAAAGCACCAGTGTGATTAAAGCAAATCTTTTTTTGTAAACTGCGAAAAATATGAAGATAAGTTATAAAATTCAGTTAGTGCAAAACCATATGTAATATACTATCAGTGAGCAAGAATTATTACATTATATTAATTAAGTGACAATGTAAAACAGTTTTTAAAAAAATGACGTCGACTGAAGAAACCAGTTCAATCCTATTCCATATTCCAAATGGTAATTTAACTATTCTACATTTTGTTATTTGAACTGCGATGAAGATTCATTCACCAGAGTTACGATTATTCCAACTATATTTCCATACATAATTCTTCTAAAAGTGGCATTATCTTGACCATTCATTAATAGAGCTTTATGATTGATGAATTTAATAGGTCATAAATCCATACCAAAGGTTAGTCGGTAAATAAGACTAGCAGAAGAACAACTGTTGATTTTAAAATCACAAAAAAAGTTCCATAAATGCTAAGCAGTTGAGTTTAATTTGTGGTGCATTTCACAACAACCAGCTTCATGGTATTTTGATGATTTCAGACTTTGATGAAACTTTATAAATAGGTATTATTTTGGCTCAAATAACTTCAGTCTCCATGTAACGTATTTATTGCGAGTAGTAATAAAGAACTGCTAAATTTATTGGAAAATTTTTACATCATATTCAATTTATTGAAGTTTGTCTGAGAAAAATGTCTCGTTCTACAATACATTGATCGTTTATTGTAACTACAATGATTGACAGACAGATAAAACGCAGAACTTCGTACGTAAGTACATCAGTTCAGGTTGCCATACCACATCAGCACAGAGACGCAACTGTCAGTTCAAATCCAACAGTGATAGCGATAGTAGAAGTATTAGCAGTAATGCAGAAGATTAGGGAGCGAAGATATGATTCGAGAAGTATAATTCAGTGAGATAAATTTAGAAAGAGAAAGATAGAGATGATGAGGAATTCAGAAGGTTAGAATTAGAGAGAACACAAAGAGTGGATGCACCTGCGCCATTGCAAACGGTTCTGAGCCATGTCGTTCAAGATCTCTAACCATTGATGACTTCTGTCACGCGGACCCCAACCAGGTAGCCTACATCTACCAAAATGACTCAGTCCACTTTTCAGTGACTTTATGGATTTCTGCCATGTTTTGGTTTGGCCGCCCCTAACTTTCTTCCAACCTACTCCTACACCATAAAACATAGCTCGTCGCGGCAGTCGGTGGTTAGCCATACGTAACACATGTCCCAACCACCTCAACTGATGAAGTTTCACCACTTCATCTATTGATTCGCCAACCTTACCTAGAACTACAATGATTGACAATACGGTTCGGCGAAAGTGGACCGACAGTTTTAGTATGATAATAAAATCCACTTGCTTATATATTTTTAAAATAAGTTAACTTACTAGAATTTATGAGCAAAACAGAAGAGATTACTTTTTCAATATATTTAATATTATCAAATAAATTTCTGCAATCACTTTTCTAGAACTACATATGCTATAATCCATAATATGCATTTGTTTATAAACAGTTGTTTATGTAAGATTCTCCGAATCCGTTGGCCAGAAAACCACTAAAAACTACCTACTGTGGGAGAGGACAAAGTAGGTTTCCGCTGTGAAGGAAATCAAGAAAAAGTGCTGGAGTTAGACAGAAAACACATTGCAGAGATCACCCAACTGTATCACGAAGCAAGCTCTAACTTCGAACCCTTAAAGCCCAAGGAATAGAACATACTAGACCGAGAACTAAAGACAATAATGAAAAGAATGAATAGCGATTGGATACAACTGGAATAGAAGGCTCAAAGCAGAATAGATCGGAGAATGCTGATCAGTGTTCTATGCTCCTCCTAAAGGTTGAATGATTTAAAGAATAAATCTATCATGAAAGTTTTACAAAATAGAACGGATTTTGAAAGGTACTTCATAAAAACTTCAGCAGAGATAAATGATAAAATTCTTTTTAATGAACAGTTTTTCTAAATAGAATAAATCACTAACTGCCAAACTAATATAATTATATTGTTCTTTATAAGCCACATATTATTTTAGTGTTTCTATAACTCAAAGTTGTACAGTGTAAGATATATATTTTCGTACATTTCTTTACCTAACAGAAAATCAGTGTATCTTTTTTATTAAATACTAATCTTAACTTTGACTAGAAACCCATGCATAAAAAAGTTTGTTTTCAGTTGCAACGATAAAGTGTATCAGATGACTAAGTTCCTTAGGAAATACTATTAGAACTTTGAAATATACTGAGGCACTGCAACTAAACATTTAGTAGAAACATTAATTTTTAGGAGAAAGATGCTTTGCAAAAAGAGCTATTCAGTTTAGAAGAATCTAATGTCACTTAACTTAAGCTTCAATATTCAACTTTGTACTACAAGTTATAACACATATTCAGTTAGTTTGTAAACAGTCATCACTATCAAACCAGATATTATAACAAAATTGTGCGCTTAGAAAGGTAACTTGACATCATTGTTTATTTATTCATTCTGTGGTCCGTAAATAAATAATTTCGTCTAACATACTGTTACTACAAAAAGTGAATGTTCATTTTATCTTTAAATATCATTTCGACTATTCATTTGTATTTTAAATGCATGATAGATATAAAAAAACTCGAATTCTAAGATGCTCCCACAGCATCAGTCCTCAAAATGAAGTCACAGACATAAAATGTGGATATATCTATTTATGAGTCATTATTGTAATATGTTTAGCATAATTCTAAAACTGTATCTTGTGTATTGAAGAATAAATTTTTTTAATCTCGTACTTCAAAACAGATGCAATAACTTGCTCACTCAAGCTAAGCCGAACAATAAGCTAATGTTATTGACAAAAAAACAAGTGTATGTGTGAACAACAGATATGTACTAAGTGCTTTATTTCAACTCATTTCAAATACTGACTGCTGAATATATTGAACTATGGTATTGGTTAGTTTGATTTATTGATGTAACTAAAATCTGTAGTAAATATCATAACATCACCGATAGGAGACTTGACATTTTGAAAATAATACATACAGTTATCAAGAGTTTCAGTGTACATATTTGAAATGGCTAGTTGATGCTTGGAACAACTTTGGAAAGGTTAAAAATAGATTTAAATCTGTGAATTCCCTCCAGCAATCCATATTCAACTAGATGATGGGTGTTCCTATGCGACAAATGCATGCTTACGACATTTTATTCTTCCTATAGACTTTGAATTTATAGTTAATTCTTACTTCTGCAATTATTTGAAGGGAATAATTTAATATCAAGATAAGAACAACATGATACAAGATACTTGACTGAATAAAATCAAATGGCATACGCAATCACTATTTATAACTTACCAAAATCCTAAAATAAGTCTAACGTTATAAACTCTATTATAGAAATTATTATTTAAATATAATTGTTCATTTAATACTTCTGCTCAAGATATTCTAATCAAATCAATGCCTAAAGTGAACGTTTTGAAAAATGAGATAAAATCTTCGTCAGCCAGTGAAAACAATGTACAGTTTTCAAGTATATTAAACTAAAAAGTTCAGTCTTAAATGTCCTTATTCTCAGTTTTGTAAATGATGACTGGATATCCACTACAAGAACTCACCTGCTATCAATTTTGGATTCTTATCAGTAACAAGAGCACCTGTCCAATTAAAATTTCCATTCCAGTCAGGCATATAGGCACGAAATATACGTAAGTAATCAAAGGTAAATGCAGATATATAAGTGAATCCATCAGCTGCATTAAGTACACTGGCTGGTTTATCAGGATATAATGAATTAAAATGAGGATTTTCCCATTGAATTAATGGAGTAGCCAGATTTTCAACCTAACAATAAAAAATATTATAATCGAAGAATTCTATTAACTAGGGATCTAATAAAATATTTATACTCACTCTAAAGTCAATTATGAAGGCATATTACCTGGGAAGTATAAGCAAACTATGTTTTTATCTGTATGCAACGTTTTGATCAGACTATGTTTGAAACTAGTATAATAAATAATTTTTTATTCTTCAGTTATAGAGTTCAAAGAAATTATCCTGAAAAATAGTCATAATAATCATTCTTTGTTTCAGGAATACTTAATGGTAGCCTAGTTATTACATAAATCTGAAGTTATGAATTTCTCACGATCGCAACGGTACTTAGAAAAATGCTAACCAACCTTCTTTGTTTTATTGAACGTGTTTTGTATAACCCATTACATCTTACTAGGTTTTTAAACAACTTTGTCCAGTCAGCAAATTGTATATGAATTACAATCATTTTGAATACATTTCATTACGGCGAAAAACTTAAATACAAATTCTTAACTAGAATTGAAATGTAGTAGTTAATCTGTGAAAACGAACTAATCTCATGAATTCTTAAAATATAAATTATGAAATATAATTCTTCATATATTTATGACTAAATACACGCAATAATACAATAGTTAATGGATATACATACGAACATTAAAAGAACCGCTACATACCACAACCAAATTCACTTAGTTCGAAAAAATCGGCTACATAATTAGTCTGTTGAGAGAAGAATAATCATATGTTTTTTTTGCGTTTATTTGTGGATTTTAAATACTGTCTATTTCTTTCAAGTGAAACATATATCTTGTTACATGTCTTGCGTTAGTTACAAATTAAAGTCTATTGGTTTTATCGTTTACGGTACGTGATGTGTTAATTACAAAGGAATAAAGTCATATATAAGTTAAGATTTCAATGTAACTCAACATTTTAATCACGTTTCAGATGTTTTAATAATACTTATTTATAATTCTACTGGCAGTAATAAATAAAACCTTGACGTGAATCAATTTTTGCTTTTTTCTCTCTCTAATTTAATATCTACACAAATTAAGAGTTTTGATTGTTTTCATTGTGTTTAGTAGTTATATGTCCATTCGAATAATTCATTGTTATTCAAGTGTATAGAGTAAAATATTTATCAAAATACATCCACATTTAAACTCTATTTATTAATTGACTCTGTGAAATGAAAGCTTTAGTTTAAATTTTACGAAGGAACTTTATACTTCTATACATGAAATATCTTCAAGTTTAAACTGTGATAGTGTAACTCGATCAGTTGATATTTGTTGAAAAGCTGTCTTGTTAATCTATTGGTAAACTGTTACTTGTTGGCATTCATTGATATTAGTTAATGTTTGTTTCCTTAACTTGAAACATTATTTCCAGTGAATATGAAAACTACTGTAAACTTACTAGAATTTAGTCATCCTATTCAAAAATTGGATTCTTTTCAACATCACAATTTCCGCATTATTTAGCACTGTTAAAAATATCAACATTTAGAGTTTGGATTTTTTTAAAGTGAAACTCCAGTAAACAAAATAAGCAATTTCAATCTAGTCATTTTATTCAGGCGTATTGATCTATGGTAAATTTATTAGAATCAAGGCACATATAACCGCAAACGAAACATTTCTTATGTTCAACCGATAAATTTAGTTTGTGGATGACACTTCTGATCAATAGTGACAGGTAACGAGAGTACTGTTATACCTTTTACTCAATGCAATTTGGTCTTAGTGTATCGTATTTTTCTTGAGAAACTACAAAATATGTAAGTGACATATTGATTAATATATGAATAAATTTTTCTCAATTTACATATTTGTAGAAAAACCTTCAAGGATTTTATCATAAGTATTATTTATTTATAACGAAAATCAATCATTGATATTTTTTACATCCCCCAGTGTTCGCATCCGTCAATCAACTAGTATTCTCGTCTTATTTACTACATAAAACGAAGTCATGAACTTTAAGTTCAGTAGTGACTGAAGTTTAAGTATGGAATTCCTAGCGATGTACTGTACTATAACAAAGCCAACATCTGGTATTTGTTAATATAGTTTTAAAGCCCACTGTAATATTGAAACATTCTTGAAATAGATGACGCTATATTAGAAAAATGTCTTCTTCTGTCTATACTGATGAGTGATTATTAACTGCATAGGTAGTAGAACAATGTTGGAAATATAAATATTACATTATTTCAATAATTAAAGGCAATCTATGTAAACTGAAAGTGTCCACATTATTAAAATATCCACTCGTCCAAAAATGAATTAAACGACCTAAATATATAAAGTATGGTACTTCGTAAAGCGATACTACTTGACAAGTAATTTCTTCCCAGTTATACATCATATTTAAAAACTTTTATCAAAGGCTCCCAAAAATCGATTCTGTTAGCTAGAAGAAATGTAAATCTATTATGAACGTTTTTGAGTACTGCTTCAACCATTACATTGTGGTGCGCGCTACTTATAAGTGGTATATGAAGCGAGTAAAAACGTAGTGTCTGGCAGCAGAAGATGGGGGAAGATCAAGAAAGGAAGAGTAGGAACACAATGGGATTTGTATGAAACGCACGAACAGTGAAATGTCAGACAATGGATTGATGTTTGCAACAGGAACAGTCCAGTTCGATATGATGGATTGATATTTTGCAAATTAACGATTTACGATATGATTTTCCTATTTGACCAATTAACTCTGTAATCTGAGATAATCACAATTCGGTTGCCCTCACCTGCGTTCCCCTTCACAACAACATGTGTCTATATGAAACTAAAACTCTGTGTTATCTCCAAATTTTCAATGCTACAAAACACCAATTTTTGTTTAAACAATTTTCATAGAATAAATAAATTGACTGATAAATTGATTCGTCTTGCTCATTAACTATGTCGACTTAAATTGTTTCATAATAAAGTAAGTATGTCAGAACGCGAAATATCGATTCACATTACGTCACATGTCACTCTATCTATCAGTGCTATTTGGCTTTCTACTAACTAGAAAATATAGCAGTTACTTAGAATCACATGATTATTTATGATCGTACTTCAATAATCGCCGCTTATTGGCAAACAACAAATAGAAGTAAACTATCTTTGTGAAATAGATCAACTAGAAACTCCTAAATAATTCAATAGATGTTTGTATTATATTATGTACAAATAAACTCATGAAAATTATCAGAAATAACAAATGGATACTTGTTAACTAAAATTTTATCATAATATATTTGGGTATTTATTACGACTATGTGATCTATCGTTATGCGTACATGGCACGATTCAGTGAAATTGTATTTATATTGTCTACATGAAACCAATATCTAAAATCTCGAAATTACAGTATCTCTGCCAGTGACTTGAAATCAAATGTATGTTGTCTAGCAATTTATTGATTATTTGATCTTCTAGTGGAGTATCTCATTGAGCAAAAAGTTAGGAAACGAAATCTTATAGACCAAATGATGTGTAAAGTCATAACCACAGCTGTTGAACTTTTCTTTGAGATTGAACATCATACGAGTAATCCATTGTTATGCTGATTTGGACAATCTCATTAAACATTTTATTAGTTAAATCATTGTGAGCTATCAATAAGATGTTTACTGAATAGCAATCTATGCTAGTTAGAGTTACTTGCTACTGATGAATATACATCTTCGAAATCAATGAATACAAACAGTAATCTTAATATATCACAATGAATGAAAAGTTTTCCTGTTATATACTATAGATCGTAAGAAGGACTATGAAGTTTCCTTTCTTAAATTACTTATTAGTATTACTCTAAATATCTTTAACAGTCAATCATTGTCAGGAAAATCATAGATATCACTCAGATAACGATAACGCAACGACTTTATAAAAATCCAAATAAAAAAAATGAAATTGAAACTATTTCCAGTATTTTGTGGCAGATTCTCACTATTATCCGTATCCACGCTTATTTACAAAAGCTTTGGCCAATAAATTTTTATAGCAATCAAAAGGTATTCATTGAAATCAAGAGCGAATTAGTAATTTTCATAAACCTATAGAGACAATTATCGTGTGCTCACTAGTGACTAGTTTTGTGACGTGTTTCTCATAGTTTTAGTGAGAAACCAAGACCGGTGGACTCCAACCAGTTACACACTGAAGACAATTGATTAACTCGTGTATTGATTGAAGTTAGATACTTGAATTTGCTGTTGCCGGCTCATTGGTCGCGCGAGAGATTGAAGGTCTAGGGTTTGGTCCCCTACATGAGGTCGTCAATTCTCATTGCTGACTAGTCTCATACTGAAGCAAAACGGCCGTTGAGTGCTTCCAGTTTTTCAATGGTGGTCAAACAATGATTAATTAACGACTTCAATGAATCATAACATTGAATCAGTGAGAAGTGTAAGCTATTACGCCACGTAATCTCATATCCTGGATAACTTCTAAGAGACGCATTCAGTGATATTTTCCATTGATTACAAATAAGTTGAAGGAAAATGTGGGAAGCAAAATGTAAATGAAGTTTCATTTTGTGGATAATATCATTACGGGTTTGTGAAGATTGTTAAGTTACACACTTGAAATCATAAATTGATCAGTGTTAGACCACCTGCAATTCGATTACCTATGCTCACTAGTGACTAGCTTCGTGAGGAATCTTCTCCGAGTTCTAGTGAGAAGTCGTGACTGGTGGAGTTTAACCTGTTCGTTTGTAGACAGTAACTACCGAAGACTGTGTATTAGGGTGCGCAACTCTGTGAATCGATCGAAGTTAGACATTAACTCCGTTAGATACCGGTCCAGTGGTCCAGAGGTTAGGCGTTGGCGCGCAAAACCGAGGGTCCTGGGTTTGAATCCTACGAGGTGCAGGAGTCGTGGGTGCGCACTGCTGATGAGTCCCATACCAAAACGAAACGGCAGTCCAGTGCTTCCAGGTTTCTAATGGTGGTCTAACTTAGGGGATAATATGTTTAGTTGAGGCAACAGCTTTAAAAATTAGTTTATCATAATTCAAAGAACATAACTCATCTAAGATGAACAATATTTTGCTTGAAACATCTTGTGACGTGGTTACTATCACTCAAAACAAAATATTTTTATAGAGTAATTTCACTACAGAGATATATTACTTACCGTTGGGACCATACAACCACTTTCAGCAAGTAGATTAGGACGACTGCCATAAGAACGATGGGTTACATAACAAAGCCAAATCATACGTTCATCAGGCATTTTAGCAAGTAGACTGATTTCTTTTTTCGAGTCACATGACCACTATAACGTACGAATAGTACAATAAAAAACAGAAAGAATTAGTATTCTTTAGTAAACTTTAATAGTCGTTTTCATTAGGAATCATGTGAAAGAATAACCCGCTAAAAACTAAGGAACAGATCAAGGAAAAACTTCTTTGAGCAAGTAAAAATCAAGCAACATCTAGCGAGGAGGATTTCCACGTAAAATCAACTAAATTTTAACGTGAAAACAATATAATTATTGGTTGATAAAGCAGACTGAGGATCTACACAACAGTCGACATTACGGATGACTTCTAATAATCTACCGTTGATAAAGTTTTCAGGTCAGCTGAAATTGTTCGTAACATATATCAGCGATTAACATTTGGAGTGCTAGTATTGTCCACGTTTAAAACCCATTTTAGTTATTCTCTCCACCAATATTGTTTTTCAGAGATGTTGGGCATTTTTACTCAATTATTTCACGGATATGCTACCCGATATTTGAATAGGTAACATTTCCATCAAGCACATCCATTGATAAAATGGGGTTTTTCGAAGAATAGTTAACAGTCGGATGATATTTAGTATTGCTGTCTTCAGGTACTTACTTGATGATAAATAAAATACAGTAACATGCTTTTATCTTAGACGTATCACCAATCATAGTGTGTTGGTAAAGCTGAGAACTAGAAAAGCCCTGGTAACTCATTGGTGATGCTGTTGTTGCATCTATCCACCTATCATATATCCAGTATATTGAGTCTCAGTATTCTCTAAGATGTGTAAAACAAGGTCGCTAAAGTTCAATAGATTTGACTTGCATTTACATGGTAATATATAACTATAAAACACTAAGTCTGTCATAATCGATGTAAGGCCTGATAGAAAAGCATGTTTTCCGAAGTTGTCAAGTCAAATTAGTATGATGAAATAAACTGAACAAGTTATATAGAAAGAGACCGGAAATAAAGTGGTGGCAAGACTGAAGACGAAGACCAATCTTTGGTAAAATGATCCCGAATAACATTAATTGGTATCGAGTGTACGATCGAGTTTATTCAGCTGGAAATATTCTCTAAATGTAGATTGATTTGTTTCACGGTTTACAGTTACTGTGCATGAATATATTGGAACATCAATAGGCCAAAATTTCCCAGTTTCTTGGTTGGTTAACCTACGAATTTAGGTACTGTTCCTCATTTGATCTGATATCAACTAATCACTAAGCTTTTCTAAATTTCAGACATTAGATGTCGCTGGTTTTACCATTATATTTGTTCAAATAATCTAAAAAATCACTCAATTAATTCTTATAGGTTTATGTAACATTTAGTTAGTTTGTAATTCATCTTATTAATAAAGTGTAAATTCCATTTCTACTGACTTCGACATCATTTAAAAACTATCTAACAGGATAGATTATATTGTGTATTGTATTAGATAACATGCGTAGTCAAAGATTCATTAAGTGAGTGCATGATACTTGCGAAAATCACTGCTTAGCTTATCGGAATATTTTTGATTATTTCAATAAAAGGAAATAGTTTCTAAACACCCGGTACACTAGGACTCCACAGTTACGTAATCATCTGATCGTTGTAAATAACCAAAGAGGCTCACACTAACAAAAGTTGACTCCAATTGTTATGATTTGATTGAAAATCACTCTACTTTTATTCATCAAGTGGAATATGTTAGCTGCAAAACTTGAGAGATTCTGAGGTTACTGTAAAAATTAAATATATATCTTACTAGACAAGGACGAAATAGATATTAGACACTTTATTTTGATTGATAAACGTTTTACTTAAAGCAATAAGTTAGAACCAGTTAACTGATGAATGGTTATTTTTCATTGTTCTGTTCAATAGAACTATTTGAACTAAATAGTGTTGACGTTACAACTTAGTAAAATTATACAAAGCTCGTCATGTTATATTGTATTACCATTTGTCGATCATATTTTTTTTCAAAAATTAGACACAATTTTAATATTGTAATTCTTAGTTGCTTTAAATACAATTAATTTTTACTTCCAGCATATCTAGTAATTCGTATTGTCTAAAAAAATTACCTGTAGACAGAACTGATGAAAAAGATAACGTTTATTAAGAAAAACATGCTGTCTCAAAAGACGTAGTGAAAAATTGTTTTAGTTAGTTTCGAAAATCTGTCTGCTATAATTTACAAAACTATTAAGTACGAATAAAAGATGAGTGTTGGACTGATCCATTTAGGGCTTGAGAAAGTGAAAGACTTTTTAACTCTGAAATAATTCCAAACAAATAATTCAATATTGGACAGTTGTTATGTCATATTGTACAGCAGTTTAACTCGGTTTTTTTAGTCTTGATCTAAACTAAACAACAAACTGCCATTTTTTATAATGATGATTCTTAAGTTTTACTTATTGTAAAATATTAGCTTGCAAAAATGATGTTCAGACAGCTGTCTATCAGTTTATTTTTGATTTTATGTGTAAGAAACAACTTAGCAAATTGTTTACATGACGTTTACTTCTAATACAAAAGATGAAATATTCTGTAATATAGCCGAAATCGAGATGAAGGAGAAAATTTGTAGCTCACATGGGCAGTTTTGGTTGAATTTCATTCCCTACGCTAAATGGTTTGGTTAGCACGAATGATTTCCGATCTTAGAGAATGGAACCCCACCTCAGTCTAAATTGTTTGTAAACTTGGTTACTAATCTAATCCGGACTAAGTTAATACAGCTTGAAGAAAGCGTTACGGTCTACCCAAAGTCCAGTTAGTATATCTGAACAATGACAGTTTGTATTCTTTACTTCTTAAGCTGTCACTACTGTGTGAATATTAGACGATATATTACTTAAGACTCAGCGATCTATACGACGGTATACTTCATAAGGACTAGGAATCCTGACAGTTGCGGGACGCTGACAAGTTGCCAGCATCAGATGAATTCGATAACTGCCGTAAGCTATTTCAGCTTATCAGAGCCACTGACATGATACAATGATATAATCAGTTTCTTGCATGTTAATATTAAAGATGAAATGATGTTTCGGTCGATAGACATAGCAAACTACAAGTTAATTCAACTGGCTTCTATTTCCAACAAGGTCTAACAGATGGTTATTCGTTATATCAGCATGTGCCTGCCGATTAACTTGCTCAAGTAGACCTATATAAGGATTTCTAACTTATATCCTGTGATGGAGGCGAACTTCTTATCAAGTTAATGGACGGCCTTTGGTTGACTGATCGGGACTATACTTTGAGAACGAGCGTTTAACAGAGTATGTATGAGAAGTTAATTAACACCCTCATGGCTCTGTAGCAAATTTCACAGGTTGAGTGAATGAAAACACATATCACTTTTGTCGTTCTGATTTCATTTTACTCATTCTGCTTCGAGTTTTATGTGGAAAATAATTTTTACACAGCTCTAAGCAAAACGAGTATGTGTGGTGATACAAACCAGTTAACTAGTGAAAGATAACTAGACATTAAATATGTAAAGGAAATGGTCTTACTGTGCGATGATACTTAGGCTGCCATAATCGCACTTAATCAGCAGGCACATTGTATCCATAACTATAGAAAATAGTGCATATCATCTCATTGGAAAGTATTACTTCGACTACAAGAAACATATATCTGTATTTAATATGTGTAGTAAACTCCTGGAATCAGTTGAACTGTTTATGTGTCCATATGAATGTGTTAGAACTGGTGGTGGGATGGAATAATGAAAGCAGGTATAGCTTATATCAATCTGGGCAACCTTTGGTAGATAGGTCAGTTTATGAAGCGGCTTGGTTGAATGGGAATGGTATTTGTCGGTCCAGCGGGTGCGTCCTGAGAGTGCTGGTTCAACTCAGTGACTTCAGACATTATCAGACATAACCCTGAATAAGGGCCATTGAAGATCCTGATGTATTTATAGATTGAAGTCGAGACTTTTAGATAAGAATGTAATATTATCCGTAAGTTGATAGTTTAAATAATTTATTAAAACGAGAACACTAATATCTTGGGTTCTAAAATTTAATAAATTGTACTGACCAACTTGAAATCTTTACTGAATACCATGGTCTCATTGAGGTTCAATGGGATAATTCGTTTCACTATAGTTCAGAATCAGGCAATCACAGTAGGTATATCTAGTAAAAATAGACATGTTTTTCACCATAAACAATATATGAATATATATTCAAATTAAGCTTCAAATATAATAAAACTCTAAAATATCTTTACTGATAATCAAAAGAGATCTGATGAATAACTTACAGAATCATTGCATCCTGGTGAAGACTTCAATGACACTGGTAGTATATATTTATCGTGTTGTTCGAATGTTGTCATGTCTAACTTTAACAGCGTTTCTCTAAATTAAAATAGAAAATGATGTTTTTAAAGAAAAATAAACTCTACATAAATGATCACTTTTGACATTTCATTAAAACGGCATTGTACGGAATGTTAACTATTGTATACTGGTCCACTGCTTCATCAGAGCTATGCGTTTACGAAAATCTCTCCACGAGAATTGTGTCTGAACATATTCTTGTAAATTTTTGTGAAATCATATTACGACATTTCTGTAAATAACTGATTTTTCATTTGGATGCGTAACAAATAGTTCAAATAAACACTAAAATTACAATACTTCATTTCATTATAGATACATTAGAGTTCAGACCTTAAATTTTCATTGCTCAAAATAGGTCCTCTAGTGCTAACGGTAATCGATATTATATTCTATTAAATTTCAATATCCTGACTATCTTCATGAGGTGATATAACTTGGAGAATTAAAAAATTGGAATATGATATAGAAGATGTGAATTATCTCAAGTTGAAATTTATGGTACATTTAATGAAATCCTTTTCTAAAAATCTTTACTATTGTTACGATTCAGCCATTGTATATTTCTAAATAACTGTATTATAGATAAAATAATATTGTTTAGTACCGTTACTCACATAAATCAAATGTTAACCAAGAGAATACAAGTTTGAAATTTTTAGAAAAAAAAATATTCAAATGATCACATAAAGAATTTGATGATATGTAAGAATATTGATTATCATTTATATTCTAGTAGAATTATTACTATTGTTTGATGTTTACTCATCTTAAAATAAGTACTCATAGAAATAATAAAATGATGACTTTTTTGATCAAAATCAAAAACTGATAATATTCGATTAGAAATTGTCATTTCTCTAATTATAATTACATTTTCTTTCAACCAAATAAATCATTGAATATACTTTATAAAATATCTGACTACTCTGCCTCCTGTCATGTGTACCCTATTGCCTCAGAAGAGTGTCAAGCCTTGCAAGTTCACTTCATCGTCTGTAATATAGGGAAAAAGTCATGTATCAGTTAGGATTATGATCTTCAGATTCATCTGGGGGCACTAATAGATAAACAAACTTTTAATTAGATGAAAAAATTCTATAAGATTTCGATCCTGGCCATGCTAGACAGACGTGACAGGTGTTATCGATTTATTACCGAATAGATCTATTGTTTTCTATGCATTCTAACATATTATTTCCTGTAATATTAGAATTGTATTCATGTTGAATAAATATGAAATGATATAGCTGATCAATCATAAATATCGATCATTATTTGTTTGTTTAAAAAATTATGTCTAGGATACTTAATGTCATGTCAGTATGCTAGTCATGTTATTATTGCTGTACAGTTTGTTATCACAAATCGTGCACAGATTACTTTTTCTCATTATATTGGTTTCGAATATAAAAAATAACCTGTTACTTTATGTTTATTTAAATATCAAATGTTGTTGTTTTTTAAAAACAAATTCATGTAAAAAAACATACGCGATAAATAATAATTAGCTGCTGTCATCTAAAATATCCACTGATTAGAACGCAATAATGTGACCAACTTCGAGATGGATAATCTGATTTTCTTGCCCACCATTTTATAATGACGATTAGTTATCAGATAAAAAAATGTTCAATTTACTACATATCTTAAGAAAATACGTATAACCTGAGTAGATATCTACTTTACTCGGTTGAAATTTATTGAAATCACGAAACTATCAAAGTTAGGCAACCATTGAATTCCGAGAAGCTTTGAAACTTGATTTTGTCCTAATATAGGACAGTAGTGCAAATCTACGAACCTCCTGGAGCCCTTCTGAATTTGCTAGAGGCCACAGGCCTGAATAAAGAGGGAGGGTTAGGCTTGGAGTTAAAAACCCCGTTCCGTGAAAAAAATTAACTACAAGAACGCTAATCTTAAAATCTCATTTAGACTATCCTCTGAGAGCTAAAGGGTTAAAGTTATAACGCATCATGTTGCAAGTCAAGTTTCTTCGGAAATCTTGAGGCCAATTACGCACATGGAATATATGCATAATCTAGGAAAGAAAGAGGACCATTCAAATTCCGATAAGAATGAGAATAAACAAGCTGGGGATGCTTTAAGTAAGTGAAACTCACTGGACACAGACTGGGCAGAAGAACTTAACTACAGGAGAGGTTCTGCTGTATCCCGATCACGAAGAGGAGACTTCCTGGCACATATAATGGGTTTCATTTATGATACCTAAAGAAGGACAGAAGAACTTATAGGATATGAATCTCATGGATACAGGTCGTCAAAATCTCCTTCCAAACTAAATGAGGGGACTGCAATGTATATCGTCCAGTGTTATGTTCTAACCAATGGTAACACCGAAGATGACAAAAATTGTTTTATGAAAAGTTGCAGCCAATCATAGAGAAATCCCTGAGAGAGGGCCTACCCATTCTGATAGGAGACCTAAACACCAACGTTGGGATGGACAACACTGGATATGAAGATATCATGAGAAGATATGAACTGGGAGAAAGGAATGAAAATGGTGAGAGACTCACAGATCTATGTGCCTTTAACAAGCTGGTAATAGGTGGCACCATATTCTCACAAACACATAAACAAGGCAACATGGGTGTCACCTGATCATACAAGGAAGAACCAAATCGATCACATCAATAAAAGTTTATAAGGACCAGATAGACATGAAAAAAAGCAGAGGAGCTAATATAACTTCAGATTAAACCTGGTAGTGGCCAGACAAGAAATAAAGTTAAGGAAGTATTGGCCAACTGAAGAAACAGCATTAGAGCTAATTATAACAAAAATATGTGGAAGACTGAGCAGCGAAAGTAGGGAGGGCTGCAGGAGAAGGAAACGTGAAACAACTATATGACACAACGAAGAAAGTAGCCGGAAAGTATGGTAAACTAGGACAGCCAGACGAGAAAAAACAAGATAAAACAATCATTGACATTCAAGAACAGAGGAACAGGTGGGTAAAGCAATTTGAAGAACTATTGAATTGACTGAACCCGCTGAACCCAACTAACATCGAGGCAGCACCTACAGACATACATGTTACACGACCACTATTAGAAGAAATCAGAACTTCATACGTACGTACATCAGTTCAAGTCGCCATATCACATTAGCATAGAAATGCAATTGTCAATCCGAATCCCATAGTAGAAGAGGTAGTAGAAGTATTAGCGGAAATCAGAGAGATAAGGGTGCGACGATATTATTCAAGAAGTAGAATCTAGTGACATAGACTTAAAAAGAAAAAGATAAAGGTGAACTAACGATTTACTGAGATAATAATCGGTGAATGGTCACAGAAATTTCTGAAACATTTACTACATTTAGTGGTTTTCTAGGATCGTAATCGATGTAATCAACTAAAATTATTACTTTTGGCAAAATATAAAAATGTAGAAGACCTTGAAGACGGAAAAAACCTTATGGTTTGTTATTGCCTAGTTCTATTTTATATTAGATAACTACATAATTAGTTTAGATATACAAAACTATTTAAATAGTACGTATGTACACCAATTAATTAGATAGCAATGTTAGACTTTTCGGAATGTTTTCATTCCTGACTATTAACTAGTTATCTGAACAGAAACTCGTCATCATAATCTCATTTGTTCATCCAGTTAATAGATGGTCAAGCGTTCTGTAACTACCCGAATGAGTTTCAGAACATCAGTCTATGAACAAACTGTTTACTCAATCATCGCATCCACCGATAAGTATCAAGCAAACAATTTAAGCAATAACATCAGTCACATGTAAACTATTTTCCGATGTTGTTGATTGAAAACAACCTATTCGATACGTTACTTCCATTATCTCATGATCACCTATAGAGAAAGTGGGATACACTAAAATAAGTATGATTCGACTATGTTTTATTACCTTATTCATAGGCTAGAATAACCTGTTTATGTTTTTATTTACAAAAAATGAATAAATAGTCATAATAATTCTACTTATTTTATTGCTAAAAGCTAAGTGTTTTGAATAGACATGTTTGTAAGAAACTGATGCAAACACATGATATCAAATTAATTTTAAATCTGCAAAAAAAGTTAGCGCTATATGATGTGATGACCAGGTAAATAAGAAACACTTTATGATGTTATTAGTTTGAGTTTCGTTTAGAATGAACAGTTATGGTGAAAAACAAAGAAGTTTTTGATGACTGTTTTCATACAAGTACATATTGTTGGTAGTTGTTTTCAATCAGATGATGTTACTATTTTATTACCTTAGGCGTTAAAAACACACATTCGTGAATGATAGACTTTTTCATCACATAGTTTTCATAATTTACTTATATTAAGTTATATATGATAAATAATATGTGCCACTGACAGCAGAAATAAAGGTAATCAGGACTGCGATTGAATATGTTGTTAGATTAACGAATTGTACATTATTTTATGTGTACGTCATTAATAATACGAATAACTAAGCAGGTTATGAACTCCTCTTCAAGTATATATATATATATATATATATATATATATATATATATATATATATATATTTATGTATATATATAATTCAATAAATATGGAAAGCGGGACCTATCAACAACCAGTAATTTATCCAATTACCAATAATTAAGGAGTTATCACTTAATCTAACATCCAGGTGAAGCTGAGAACGTCTTTAATGGTAATGCGGAAAAGCACCATCATGTAAGAAAACATTAGAAGTATGAGATGATCAATGTTAGATTACCATTGAAAAGTTGGGAGCACTAAACGGCCGTGTCATTTTTGTAGTGGGACTCATCAGTAGTGAAAATCCCCAACTCTGCAAGCGTGAACCGAACCCAAGACCTTCCATCTTTCGTTAACAGATTCTTAGTTTTTAACAGTTTTTCATGAAATAATCTTACGGTTTGTACCTGACTCTCAGGTGATGAACGTAAAAACCTAGATATGCTTGAATTTACTCAGAGTATTACAAACTACAAGCTTGTCACTTTGCAGTATAAGTATAAATAATAAGTATAATAATAATCCTGCGAGGTGCAGGAGTCGTAGATGCGCACTGCTGATTAGTCCCATACCAGGACGAAACGGCCGACTTTCAGTGCTTCCAGGTTTCTAATGGTCGTCTAACAATGATTGATTGATGATTTCAAATGTGTAAAATTACAAATCTCCAAAACTCTAACTGAAAATATTATAAATAACATTTTCAAATACAGTATCATCACTAAGGTATGTTTCTTCCGTAGTTGCAAACATACATGGATTAAATAAATGTTAGTGGACCATTAATCCTATTCGATATGTTCATTCCAATCATATTTGTAACTATAGTTAACAAAAAAGAACTTTCCTATGTATGGAATTGTTATTATTTTTACCTTGATTACTTATGCAGTACTGAAATCACACTGTATAACTATTTATTTGAACATTGATGAAAAAATTGAATATTTACTTTTCGTTGCTAACAGCATTAAACGTGGAAATCAAGCTTTCCATTTAGAGTTTTATTTAAAGTCTAATAAAATATCATTTATAATTATATTTCTATCACAATTTTCTCTTCTAAATAATATATTTATTTCATTTAAGTATGATTTACTTAAGCGTAATATTTTACTCAGGTGATAAATTGACTCAAATTACTAAGATATTATTAGTATTGATTTTGAATTATTTGTAGATACATGTACTTACCGATTTTTAACTACATAAATTGAAGATGTTTTTGGCACAATAATCATTTGTGAGAAATCACTTGTATCATCATCTTCAAATCTTATTCCAATATTTTTTTGAATTAAATCTACAATTGAAATAATATACAAGGAAAAACATTTCAAATGATCAATAATATAATGTTTTCGAAGTTATAAAAATTTATATCTTAATACGACTGAAAAAAAAGTTACTTAGCTATTTAAGAAAAGAAAAATGTGTAAAGTCTACAAAGTTACGAGAATGATTTTTTATATTACTAATTAAATAAGAATAAAAATATTTGTTATCCGAATGAATGTCCTGCAAATTACCAAATCAATAGTCAGTATTAGTGATTCCATCAACTCTCTTTGTGAATTGTTTTAGTCATATATACATAAATGTCACCGAAAAAAAGTTAGAATATTTAGTTACAGAGTGTATACGTCAGTTTTTCATAAATTTATTCAAATCTCAAGCTAGAAAAGATTGTTATAAATGCCTGTTAAAAACAAAAGTTTATCATTGCCTCTTTCGAATAATTTTTATCGATGAATAATAGTTATTCAATGGAAAAAACAACTTCCAGTTTAAATAAAGTAACAAAGTCAGATAGATACTTTGATTTTATGGCGTACGGTTCAACCTGATGACTGGGATTTTTTTTGATGAAGAACATATTCAATGAAGGAAAATATTTCTCATGAAACTTATTCTCTAACAACTCCACTGACTAGATTTGCATACACATCTTTTATGAATGTTCCTAATAAATATAAATATGAAAGTGGACCATCTACATTCTTAAAAAAATAAATAAATAATCTACGGTTTAATGACTGCTTTACATTTAAATTTTCAGTTTTTATATTTTAAGACATTTGTATACACTCCCATTATCATTAGAAAAATAGATAATTTCCTACTTATCCTAAAGCTCGAATATTTATTTTATTTCAATGCTGATAATATAAACTGTTATTTATTTTATCATTTCTTCTTCTTCTTCAACAATGAACCTTGATATTTCACTTCGGAGATAAGCAACAATATTTAGGTTTTACACTCATTAACAATAAATGCGTTCAGAAGTGGCGTTAAAAAGAAAAGACTGTTAGATTTGTTTTATTTGTTTGTTTCAATATTTTATGTTTATGTTAAACTGAATTCACGGGTTGAAGTTTGAACTTCAAGTGTTAGAATATGTGTAGTTAGTTAGTAAAAGTAAATAAATTGTACCATAAATGACCAGAAAAGAGGATAAATTCATTGCTGAAGAGTTTTAAACGTTGGTTTTTATTTATGTTTATCAAAAAAACAGAACAGATTGAAATGTTAGACAGGGCTTTTTCAGTCATTGTGTTAATCTTCGTTATATTAGGCTGAGGGATTTATTCAGTTTAAAAAAGGTCAAAACTTTGGCCACTGCCAACCATAGGTACTCACAGGTACTTAGTTCTTTATTATCTTATCTTTAATTAAACCTTCCTGTCAGGAGTCTAAAGAATAATATCTAAACGATTTGTGGATATAAAAATAAACACAAGCTTTCTTATAAATTCAAATGACAGATCTGATAAATCATTATATCACATGAATCACAAATATTTCTCAATGTGCCCTGCACAAAGCTGTTTATAATACTTATATATAAAATAGAACTGCTAGTTACATAAGAAATCTGCAACTGTAAGGTATTTCCTATAAAATTGTATAAAAACTGAAGAACAAGCTTCACAATACACTAAAACATACTATTTTTCAGGAAATTAATGAAAGGATGTGTTTTGCTTTCATACATTTAATTATGCTGTAGTCTTATGCTAAATTATTTGATACTAGTTTTTTCAGACTATAATACTTTACAATATAAACTGTCTAATTACGATTATTCATATCAGTGAGCACAAAGGTTTTATTGAATACTTCTTCAAGGCTATTTTCAGTTAATATTTAAACACATGTTAGTAAATAGTGCAATCATAGATTTATAAAATATTGTATTTGTTGTGATTTTGATGTGAAATTTATCAGTTAGAAAATAAGAATTTTAATAAATATGTGATTTAAACATTTAATATTGATTTACTAATTGATAATTTAATCAAAAGTTTAGTTTAAAAAATAAGAATTTTAATAAATATGTTTTAAACATTTAATATTGATTTACTAATTGATAATTTAATCAAAAGTTTAGTTTTACACTACTACCACAGACGCTAAGAAAATTAGCGACTAAGCATTATGGATCTCTGAATGTTTTGTATAGACTTTAGGGCAAATACTTGAGCTTAAAATAAATAAGCTGAACGACATTCAATATCTTCATAGCAAACACATCATAAATGAAATAAGAAAAGTTAGCTATTTGTATAAAATAAAATTTTTTTTTCTATGCACATGAAATGTTATACGTAAAAGGATTACAAACGTAGTGAACAAGAGCTCAGTGTAAATACAATGTGCAACTTAGTTGTATTGCTTGAGGGCATTTTGAATGATGGATGAGATGACGAAGATATATAGCAGGAGTGTGTGTATACGATTGCATTTTTTTCTCCGAGCTGGATGAATCAACTTTAAAGTTTTACTTATTCTACTTAACAGCATCATCAGAATCACACTGAATGCTCCACAATTCAATCACATAATTTAGAGAATAAAAATTCACCCGAAATCAAATGATTTTCTTAATAATTTATTTGGTTAGTTATATTCTTCATAGCTCACTTGAAGAATGACCTAATCACATGTGAAGTAAAACAAATATTTATATATTTTTAAAAAATATAATACTAAATTTTATTGATGATCAAATCATGTGAGAAAAGAAATAATCAATCATAAAAGATCAGAACCCTATTGTTTGATGCAAGCAAGTAAGCAAGCAACTTTGCATATGTAAACAGATATTATCTTGAAACCATGTGATACTGTAGGTGCACATAACACAACTGCATGTTCGCTATTCACAAAGTTGACTCATCTAAATATGGCATAACGATTTATATTGAACCAAAATGATTTATTGATAGTGAATGTATAAATGTTAATTTTAACTCACTATTCTAATTTCGCTTGCTGCAGTTAAACTGGTGTAGAATCCACGAACATCATCATATTTAGTCGACGTGCACGTAACTATACTTTCTTTTACTTACTTATTCGCATAAAATGTTTGAATAAATTAAACAAGTTTCTAATCCTTATTTTTTTTTGAACAGATAATTTAATGACGTCGCAGTTCATGTTCATTTTTTGTCATTAGTAAAATTGTGTTCTTATAAAACATGAAAAAGCATATCTCCGGTAATAAATATTTTATTAAGTGTTTAGTTTGTTTGTTTTTTTTTGTTTAAACGGTATATTATTTTATTCAAGTAATTCCATCAAGTTTACATTAACATCAGTTCTAAAAAAAAATTCACTTACAGTATCATGTATTTTGGCTAGTAATAAATATTAAAAAAAAATAGTGTCTGAAAAATTAACAAAAATGTCACTGTAAATAACGTCCTTTCTATATTTAGTTTTTGAAATAATATGTATATTGTATATTCAATTTATATGTTAAAGTACAACATAAAGCTGAAATAATTTCTGATAAGTTTGTTTGGTAAATTTAAAACAACTCACGTTTATATATACTTTCATTATCCTATTTCACTATTTAAATAAATTTCAAATGACTGCTTTTTAGTCTGATAATTACTAAGGATTCTATTCATGAGATTCAAAGAATGTTCAAATATTTCTGATAGTAAAGCGATCATATAGCAAACAAGCTTGTCACAAGAATTATACATATATTTATGTGAAATTATTTTTATAACATAAAGCATTTTAACCAACGTTGATCTCAATCACATATCTTAGCGAATTCGAAAAGAAAATAGAATTCAATGGAGAGTCGCTTTGTTTGATGCTCTTGATGATAATTTTAATCTCTGGCATAGAGCATTTAAATTTGCAGCTTATCTTTGGTAACGTAGCTTAAGGGTTGAAATGCACCTATTCAATTATGACCAAACAATATTATCTTGATAATTGAATGCATAAATCTAAAAACAGCCTATGGTTTTAACACTTAATAGTTAAGATGAGAATAATCCAGACAATATATCATATTCCTAGACCACATTCCTAACAGAACAGAGACTTAAACCTTTTTTAGTCATTCGTATGATGTATTTTTTCATGGAATATTGTTGAAATCGCTGATCTTTTTCTTCATTCATTTAAAATCCATTAGTTGATGATGTGAGAAATCCAATAAGAATACTGATTATTCTTGAAGTTAAAAATCTTTGAATTTGGTTTCTAATACATGAAGATTAAAACGTGTATAAATTCATAAATTAACCATCATTTTAGAAAATGTTAAATTTTTAATGATCAAGACATCTATATAAAATTTGTATGACATGCTTAAAAAAATGAAAATTTGAGAATATGAGAAGCTAATTGTTTATTTAAGTTTTACTAAATCTTTGTATCTATTTTCATTATGAATGAAGGCCTTCAAAATATGCTTATATTTCGCTGGAATCTATATTTCATTTGTGATATTTTGTCAAGCATAATTTTTTTCAGTGTTTAGTTTGTTTGATAGTTTAAACATAAAATCAATTCGAAATAATGAACAAATAATCGACAATTTTGAAAAACTAACAAAAATTTAATTATGACAGGTGACATTTCACTCGATAGATTTGATATTACTCATATTTCATCGCTCGACATAACCTTGATTTATTTTCAATGGACAGATTTTCAAGTGAAATAAAGTTCTGTTTATTTCACTGTTTAAACATTTGTCTACAGTAGTACATTTGCCTCAACATTTATATAAAAACAAACTTTCTTCATTCAAAACAACATACTTCATTGAATCCACTATACAAAAAACTTTGGTAACTTCCCTGTTAACCGAAACAATCTCTATTTCCATGCTAATTCTAATGACATAAAAAAATCCTATTTCATTAATTACTTTATCAATAACTCTAAACTTTTTTCTTGAATTGCCATCAACAACATTAAACTAGTTATGAAATACTAAACAAAATATTCTACAGAAATTACATGAATAATTATAATTGGTGAATATTCTTGTAATTAAAAACTTCTGTTTTTATAATAAGTGCATTGTAATGACTTCTATTTTATAAACATCTGTAAACTTGTAATTTCAACAGATCACTCACTGATTGCAACAATAATACATTTCGCAGACTGATGTATGCAAAATGATAAAGCAGGTGGTTAAGGTCACTAACACAAGGAAGTGTTGATAAGTCAATTTTAATTATAAAAATTGAATAGAGAAATTTGTAGATTTTAGTAGTTATAAAGAAGATTTTGATCAGCCCACACTAATGTAACACAAGTTATACAGTATGGTAGATCATTTTTCAAAAGTTCAATTATCGAAAGGTAATCGGAAATAAATTTAAGCGAAAAAAATATTCTTATGATTTGTTGCAATGAGATTTCATGAGATACCGTAAAAGACGTTATATTCACTCAATCTAGTCAGTATGAATAATTTAAATAGTGTTTATGTGACTTGAACAAACAATTTAATTATGTCACTAGATATGTTGATCACAAGACTATTCAAACTTGACCATACGAACAATACAAACATCATTTATAACATCTTTCATTTCAGTACAATTAGCAATCAAACTGCTCTTAGAGATTTTCAGAAATCTTTATAAAATAAATTAGTTTCTAAGTTGAAACACATTCCTTAATATGATTACTGAAAGATGCTATTAGTCTCAATAATTCAAAGAAAAGATTGAATTTTTGAATTGCTTTGTTGACAAAAAGTCAACTTTCAATCAGCGACATTGGAAAAAAGAATGAATAACTATGGTGGGGTTTTAGTTATCTAGGCTGGATGGTTTATTTGTGGAGCTTGAACTTGCGCTGAAGTTCATGTTGACGATGTTCATTAAAAGAACATTGAAAACTGCACAACCAAATCATCCAGCTCAGAGAACTAATTTCCTCCATAATTATCCACCTGAATTACAAAGTCTCTCCACCATCGCAGAATGAATATCTGTTTGTAGCTTCTATCAATTAAGCTGGATATACATATTCATTGAGCAAACAGAAAATAAACTTTCATATTCTGATAAATGATTATCCTGAGAAATAATTCACCCTGTTGTTACGCTAGCTTTTTTTTAAAATTTATATATACTTTTCAATTCAGTCAACATCTGTCAATACAATTTGCTAATTTGCTGCAATTTCCAAAGTTACACAAGTGAACTACTCAATGTATATGCTACATAATAATAAATTCTATTAATCGGTTCAACTAAAAATTTTATTTTGTAATGCAAAAGCAATAAACATCAACGTTCACGTTCATTTGCTTAAATCGTCTCACAACTGAACTGATTTGTATAAATCAATTGAATATTTTACAAATGTAATTTTGCATCTAACGAGCATTAATTTATTCAATTCACTCATTAAAAAAAAATAATTATAATCATTTCCATTATTCACAAAAGTTCATCAAACAGTAGGACGGAATGGTCAAGAAATAGAGAGAGATAGTGCGTCTATGTGTGTTTGTGTGTGGGAGTTCGTGTTGTGATTGTTACAATTACAACAGAGATAAATGATAATGTTGACGCTAAATTTTCTGATTACTTTTTAGTGGACAATGAAAATTTTCTGAATTTATTATTTATTTCAGAAAATTTTCAGATTTGGTAGTTTCCTTGAAAATTCGAATACCAATCATTTCGATGCAAAGTTACTAAAAGAAATATGCTGATATTTTGTGTGGAGAGCTGAGTGTTTTTTTTCATTTCCTTATTTTTAAACATACAGTACTAATTAGTAGAACATTAATTAAATAAACCAATTCTGTACAGTTAAAACAAGCCTCCAGCAATTAACATATTCAAATAAGTGACTAGACAAGTAATTAGTTTTGAAAAAAAATTTTTTTTAATTTCACAAGACATTCCTTTTGATTGTTTCTTGTTGTCTGACTTTTCTTAAGAAATATTGTAAAACAAATCTTTTTTCTTAATTTATGTACAGAAACTGATCGTGTTATATAAAATGATTTTTTTAAAAAAATACTGTTTTTGACAGGTTTTGGGTAGGCGAAAATGTTCCTTATCCACAAACTGAATTACTACAGTTGGTTATAACATTAGTTTTGCAATTTTATTTGAAGATTATTTTCTAAGTGATTTTGAAATGAACAGAATGATTTACCAAGATGATATTCATATGTGTTTGAGTATCGACAGCTTTTATTCTGTCAAGGTTATACTGAGTTACATTTTTGTTTACTCAGTAATAGTCTGTAAAAAGTAAATTGTAACACACAATATATGGTCTAAAACTTAAGTACTCATAAACATGTTTGGCATAAATAATCGAGGGAAGTATATCGGGGTACACTATATTCTGTTAACTCTTACAAAAACATGATATTTTTCCGCGTTAATCATTTAAGAAAAAATTTCAGTAAATCAAAAACATGATCTCAACTGCTTGATACTACTAACATTATAACAATAGCATTAGAGTAGACATTTCGGAAGAAACCTTTTTCCATAAATAACGATAATTTGTATTTGCCTAAAACTTTGATAAAACATACTCAAAGGATTCTTACACCTGAGGCTGTCTGTTTTAAAACAGTGTTTTCCTGAGTAGCATTTATAAGAACTATGTGGGGTCAGATAATCTTATGAGGAGTACTGTATTGCACATTTTAAAATCATTTATATCATTATGTATTTTCTGATTGATTTTTATTATCATATAAAAGATCGTGAAGGAAGATAAATTCCTAATGGTAAATTAGTTATAATGGCCTGAAGAACATATTACAACTGCATATAAATCTTCACTAGAAAATTAAAAAGATTCTCGCATCAATCACTTGCTTTACATAAAAACATGAATGTATGTAGTAGACACAATAAATTATAACAAAAAGGAATAAATTACCTTCGATAAATTCAACACGATAGTCACTGAGTGGCCAATTTTCAATAACTTTTGTCGCTGACTTAATCAATGTAGATGGTGTAGAATATGTCCAAGATGGTAAATATCTACTATGAGATATCTTTTTATGGTCAATTGTTGATTTATTAGGTTCACCCTTATTCGATGAATTATTTGAAACTGGTTCCTCTACCGGAAGTTGATTTTCAGTAGCATTTTTACGTGAAAAAATTATTACAGGCAATGATTTATCATGATTTATGTCATTTGTAGTTTTCAATGTAAAATTAAACTTATGTGTGTTTTCGTTTGGGATATTTTCTGCATGATATCTGTTGTTTACTAAACTCTTATGAATATGGTTCTCCATGTTTTTACTTTCTTTAAGTTGCTGATATATTTCATTGTTACGATTATTATTGGCGTTGTTATTGTTGGTTATACTGTTATCATTATGTTTTTTGTTTGACTGATAATCTTCTTCATGAAGTGATAAGTCACAATAAATAAATAAACTGTTTAAGAATACGAAAGATAATAAAATTAGTACTGATGTTGAGATTAGATTCTGACAATTATTTATCGACAGTTTCATTTGTAATGAATCGAATACACGCTACATTTGGATTGATAAGATGCAAATAAATCGTCCAAATATATACGAAGGTAGTAGACCAACAACTATACAAATTCACTTAAGCATAGGCCAAATCTACACTTTAAAGGGAACGATTGAACGGTTCATTCACATTAAAATAACAAACATGCGTATTGTTTATACCGTATACAAAGTTTTACTTTCCGCCGGAGAATGACTTTGAAAATAATTAGACAATATTATCACGTTGTTTAGAATCATCTTCAGACAGTTAAACTGTAAACAAGATGTCCATCATTGAAATTTTAGAGAATTAAGAATAGTGCTTTTCTATAATATAAATAATAATGTTAAATTTCAGAAAAACGAAGGAAAGAATGTACGTGAATAAATGGATAGCACTGTGTTTGAATGGCAGTAATATCAATCACAAAAATATTTGGAGTACTCCTTGTTCTTCAGTTGATTTTCGTCATAACGATTGTATTTCTTTTCTTGAAAAAAATAAACAAACAAGACAATAAAAAGAAGAGAGCTATCAATTTTATCATTAAAACTAACTGATATCATGTGATTTTAAAACGCAAAAAAAAATAAATCATTTCCCAGTATTTTAATTCAGTTTCAAATATTTCACAACTTTTATTTTGTTTAAATTGAAAAATGTATAAAATTACCTGAATAAAATTGCTTCGGACACTTAACAGTGTAATCACTTTATTTAGATTAGACAGAGTCTTTATACAAAGTAATTACAAGCCAAATAATTGTTTAGGTTATGATTTTAAAACAGCTGTTTTATATAAAACAGGGATAGAAATTAATAATTATTAATCTCTTCCATAACTGGTACTCCCTTCTGATTGGCCAGTTAGTACATATGTATAAGTATGAATTAACCAATCTTGGTTCGGATGATTTTTTTTAACTCAAACAATAATTTCACAGATTTTTCTCTAACAAACTATAAAACCATGTGAATTGTATAAGGATATAAATTATTTCACAAACAGTCCTTACAAAAACAGGGTATTGTATGGAAGTTCATATTTCAAAGTGAAAAAACCAGATGTTTTCGTTTTTTCTCTAGGTACACTACTTGAAATGGATTATTTAACTCGCATGTCACTGAATTCAACTCTTGTAGTGGGCAATTTTTATCCGAATTATTAAGTTTTTAGTAATTCATGAAAAAAGATGTTCTGTTTTTCAAAACTCTGTACGGCAATATTTTGAACAAGTATACCTGTCCATTTTTAGAAGCTTTCAATAGCATAAATATCTTATCTATTTTTTTTTTAACATTTCAAAATTTCATAGAAATGAGCTTAACATGTCTTTAATAGTACTAAATTCGATTGCATAAACTGAATACTAGGTAATAATCAGCCGAACTCAGCTCGGAGAACTAAACACCAGCACAATCATCCACCTGAGCTACAAATTTTCTCCACCATACAAACATAATATGCACAACAAGCATAGGGTAATAACTAGGACCTTATTTGCTCTTCGTGTTGATCTCCTTGTCCATTTTTACTCTAATTCTACTCACCAAACCTTTTTAGTTTTTTTGAATTTTAAGTAACCTATAATTAGTGATTCCATTATTCATTTCTAAGCGATATGAAATTATTTAAAAAATATGTTCAGTGGTTTAATTGTTTTCAATTTTTATGTATTTTATACATGTTCTCTATTACGAGTCATATATTTCAGTGCCTGTTAATTTTTACAAATGCCTACGATTGATGAGCTAATACATCTCCATATTTATTCTTAGATTAGATGTTTTAAATGAGCAAATTCTTTCCAGCGATATTCTGTTTTTAATGTTGATGCTAGTTTCTAACCTCAGTCGCTATCTGCTCTAAACTTCAGATCTTAGTTAGCTCGATAATTTTTGGGCTATATATAGATTTAAATTTCTGAAAAATAAAAATAAAATAGGAAGAACTGTTCGCCTAATATTTTATCCACGATTGCTGAATTCCTAGTAGATCAATGATGAGTATATCTAAAAGCAAGCACATATACAAATATTAGTGCTTAAATCAAACAGTTAGACAAAAGTAAAATTTCATTGGGCTTTACAGACACTATAAAAGTCATCCATGTTAGGATTGTTCATGAAATAAACAATCCTAACTTTATGTGCTATAAAGTGAAACAATGTATTTTTACTCGAAGCTAACCATTTTTCGAATTGTTAATTTGAATCTACAACTATCAAAGTTGATAAGAATTTATTAAAAAGAATTATTCTTCCTTCTTATATTAAAATGTTTTAATGACAAAACTTTGAATTTATGGATGATAACATGCACTTTCTTAATGAGTAGTCAGTATGAATTTGTTTGTCGAAATAACCTTAACAATCTTTGGTATACTGACAGAAATTAAAATATCGGACCATTTGATAAACGAAAAAAAAAATTGATTTGAAATATAATTAATAAAAGGCTAAAAGAAAACAAAGAAATATCTAAAGACATTGAATATAATATATAATAACCTGAATTGCATAACATAAAATGTTCATTTTAAGACAGATAATAGTAAGATTTTCGTGATTGAAATTTTAATCTATCTCAAAAAAATAGGGTGATACAATGTTGATAAAATAGAAACGAATAGATAATAGCATACTTAACATATTTATTCAACTACTAATTAGTTCCAGTCAATAAACTTAAATAAAAAGTGAAATTCGGATTTTATGTAATGATGTACAATTGTGAAAAAAGAATTAAATAAGGTGGTATCGTTAGTTTTTAACTAAAAACAAGCATCAATTACGATATCATTCATGTTAATTGGTATTAATGCGATCAACAGTGGTCACATGATAAACTAAGCTTTATGAAACTAAGCGATCACATCCTACATTGCATCCCTAGCCATTTAATGTATTAAGTAATGGTTTTTCGGAATTTGTTTTACATTTTTTAGTTATAGCTTTAATTTAACCAGAAAGTGGTATATTCGATTATTTTCGTTGAATGGTTTCAAATACTGAATTGGAATTACATGGAAATCTTATTAAAATAGTGAGATCCTAGCACAAATAGAATATTCTTATACTAGTCCTGTAATCATAACTTATAAAGTGAGCGATGGTTTTACGTTCATGTAAACAGTGATTCTTAATCTGTGAGATATTAGTATTCAATACCAGATAGTGAACACTACATGGTTTCCAAATAAAAATAAATCAGACAAATTCTATAAATACCCATGAACACTAAATCAAAAATCACATGACTCAAATGACTCAATCAAAGTTACGCTGATTTATCTTTCCTTGAGTATAAATAGTTATCCCAAAATGAATGCTTCATCGAATAGGTAAATTGAACAGTATTGAAAGAAGTATCTTTATGTAAAATTATTCTTCAGGCTACACTATAAGCTGTGTAGCTGATTAGTGAAATATAAATGCGTATAACAATTTTAACATTTTTTAATTAAATAACTAATAGTTTGAAAAATATTGTATGTATTTATTCCTGGAGTGGATAACACTTAAACTGATTTGTTTTTCACTAGAATTTTTTTTACCCACGACATTACAAAGTTACCAAGTGAAATTGTATTTAGTGTGAAATGACTTGAATTATATTTAAACTATTTAAAATGCTTAATGGAGTTTAGAGTATTTAGCTTATTATTTGTCTGGATAATTTCTTAAATGAACTATATTAGAAAAAAAATAGAGCGTAGTGTATTTCACTAAATATATGACAGAAACAGATACAATCAATTATAAGTCGATTTTTGTTGCACAAAGAAATATACTCTACAGAGGACTGTTCTTAGTAATATAGTGTAAAATGAGATAGTTCAATGATTTTGTAATAATCAGTGGAATTACTATCAAATATAAAGTAATAATTTTATTAAATATTTGATAAAGCAATTCATTCCATGGTTTGTTTTTTAACTTTTGTACATAATAATAGTCTTATTATTTCATTCGTCGAAGGATCTTTTCCTAGAATAAAACAAGTTTTTTTCAAATCACTTCAAGAAATAGCAGGGATACAATTTTAGACAATGATTTTGAGATGAATTTCTGAAAGTCTTTTAAGTTACTATAATCTGGAGATACGGTTAACTCGAAACTGGTTTCAATACCAGAGTACAGTTGTGAACAAGTGTTCAACTTAAATGTAAATCTCGTGTTCGCGTGAGCATTTAGCTTCTCTGACATCCAGCTTTTCTGGCCACTTGTGGTCATGAGTATGCACAGTTAATTTGCCCTTGACGAAAACAACAACGCTATTCTAGGCTTTTTATATTCATTGACTCACTGAATGAAATGAACTCATGAAAAACACTGAAGCATTTTTTGCTTGTTTATGTCTTAAAGTACTCACAAGTCGATCATAAGAATAATAAGTTTCAAATGTCGAAATAACTATCGGAACCAAAACCTATGCAGATGATATAAACTGGATGTACTAATCACCGGAACTAACACAAGAAAACTAGAAACTCAAGTATTTCGAAAGCCAACTCACACCGACGTAATTCTCATCTACGACAGCAACAACCCAAGAACCCACAAGATTAACTGCATACAATCTTTGTTCAAGAGAGCGAAGACACACTGCAGCACATACGAAGCATTAAAAAACGAGGAAAAACACCTGATGACTATCTTCCAAAAGAATGGCTATCCACGCAACTTCATCAGAAAACATCAACCGAAACCATCATCAGAAGCGAAATCAAGCACAGGAACAAATAAACGCATCATCCTGCCGTACATCAAAGACATATCGGAGCATACGGCACGACTACTGAGACCATTTGGAATAGGTGTGGCACACAAACCAACAGAATCACTTCAATCAATCCTATGTAGACCAAAGGACAAAATGACAAAGGAAGAAAAACCAAATATCATCTACAAAATAAATTGCTCAGACTGTGAAAAACACTACATAGGACAAAGTGGACGACCTCTTCAGCTCCGTTTGCGTGAACATCAA